TGCAGTCGATAAACTCTAAACATCTAGCAGTTGCATCACTCAATTCGATGCCGAAGATAGACTTGACACTCGTTTTGACATTTCAATATATAGATTCTGAACAGATCATTTGGAAGAGATATGATATACTTAATTATAAATATGTTTTCAAAAACAGTTTTATCACGTTTAACGATCCCTTTTTGTTTGATGACCACATTGACACCGCCCGCTTCCCACGTGTGGGACCTTTCCGTGGCGACCCTTCCGAGACCTTGAAGCGGGCGGTGAATCTGAGCCGAGCCATGTGGGAAATGAACATCCTGCGGACGCGACTGATGCTGAATGTCCGATGCCAAACGGGGAAAGATGAAAGATGTAGGGATGGGTCAAAACCCTGGTACCTAGCGAACCCCAAAATAGCTGGTAAATGGATGTTCATCCCACTAAAATGTATCTATAGGTATTGACCCATACCCATGTGGACATTTTCATGGGTGAAGAAAATATGGGTGAACAAATGGCTGAAAAGAAATGGGATGAACAAGATTTTGAAAAATATTGAGATGATGAGCTTGGATGAGAGATTAAAACACTGACAAAGCCTGAAATGACGGAACATTTTCGAAAACGGATAATTAGTAGGTCACTATTTTGGAGCTTGATGGGTTTGGTACATGAACATGTTAAGAAAAAAGGACATCCATGCACTGGTGAATCCATGTGAATCCTAATTTTCCCTCTTGAAATGGCCGTACATTGGCACACCTCATAGTGAGCTATTAGGCTGAAATCGACTACGACGTGGCCGAAGACGCTTCGCGATGTCAGGAGGGAATGATGATTTCGTGGAATTTCACCAACAAACCTACCATGACTGGGGATGGTAAACATGTCACCCATAAAAGTGGTGATGACTTGGGATGGTGGAGGGTGAATCCCACATTGGATCTGACCAACTTTGGAAGCAACTAAGTTGGGACTAGTCCGAAACAGCGTATTTGGACAATTTGGACCAGGAGGAGCATTCTGATCTGCTCTTTCAGCAAATTCCGGACGCTTTGATGCCGGAGTTTCGTTGCGGCCCTCAGACTGACCTTGATTTTTAGAAATGGCGACACCGATGGGACGGACGACGGTTCAGCGACGACTGCAATCTGTGGGCAGAGGTTCAGTAGACCGTCACATCATTGAGACCGGCAATTCGGTTGGAAACTTCCGGCTGATCTCAATGTGTGGGGCCCTAGTTGGCTCTTCCTGGTGCGGGGAGGTAAAAATATCCAAAACGAAAAAATAAAGACACACTGGTCACTGGTTCGTGGTTTTATATGCGATTTTTCTGTTTTCCACCTGATTCTTGGAAGGATGATCAAAGAAATCCTAACTACACAAAACGGGGTTGAAACCAGCAAGGTTCCGTCGACAAATTCAACATTTTGCCCCGAATCCTCAAAGTGGAAGTAGTCACTCGCCACTCAAATCCTGTGATCCATCACTGAGGCTGTCATGCAAGAAAGGAACAGTATTGCAGGCTTGAAATAGCTTGGAGTGGTGCAGCGAATTGTGCACCTCTGGCAAAGCCCAATTGGGGTTGGTTTAAGGCATTTTGGGTTTACCGCCTTACCCAAATTGTTGATCCATTATTCTCATATTATCATTACTACAGGTTTCGTTCTCTGTTATGACTATACTATGATCATTTATTCTCATTACTATTTGTTAATATCATCGTCATCATCATCATCATCATCATCATCATCATCCCATAATCATCCATTAAAATCATTAAATCCCATTATATCCCATAGAATTCCATCATCTTCTTCTCATGATTAGTGGGTTTACCTGACCCCAAATGGTTGATCCTGAATGTCATTTTCGCAGGCTGTGGATGAGGATCAGCAAGCAGTTGCCATTAAGGTCTTCAACAAATCGCAGGCACGGGATTTTTTGAATCTGAACCATAATGGATAATATCAACTAATATCAACCATATGAATTATAGATTATATCAACAGATGATGTTAGTAAATGATATCAACCACAGTCAACCACAATGGCATTGCTTATTGCCTTTACCGCCCATTTATGGTCAAATGGGGGATGGTTTACTATTGATTTACCAACATTAACATTGTTGTTGTTGTTGGTTGTTGTTGTTGTTGTTGGTTGTTGGTTGTTGGTTGTTGGTTGTTGGTTGTTGGTTGTTGGTTGTTGGTTGTTGGTTGTTGGTTGTTGGTTGTTGGTTGTTGGTTGTTGGTTGTTGTTGTTGGTTGTTGGTTGTTGGTTGTTGGTTGTTGGTTGTTGGTTGTTGGTTGTTGTTGTTGTTGTTGTTTGTTGCTGTTCTCTTCTTCTTCTTCTTCGTCCTTTTCTTCTTGTTGTTGTGGTTGTTGTTGTAGTTGTAGTTATAGTTGTGCTGGATAATATCAACCATATCAACCAGTGTCTATTACTCGTAGTATCATCATATTTAGTCCCCAATACACCCCAAACACTGATTGATATGATTGATATTGGTTGATGATTAGTATCATCATATTGAATCATCCCCAATACACCAAACATCATCTATTAGTATCATTTATATTAGTATCATCTATATTAGCATCATATTTAACTACACATATCAAGATTTTGTTTTTGATCCCCAAGTGATCCAACATCCCATGATCCAAGTCCCAGCGTCGCCACGGTCGGATCCGAGATGGTTGACCCGGGGGTGCTCGAGTCCATCTACCGTGAGTACCGCTTCATGGGCGAAGTCGTCAGGCGCCGCGGAGCTGCGGAGCCAAGTGATCCAAGTGATGCCCTGTTGATGGGGAAAACAAAAGACTTAAGCTGATTTGATGTGAATGATTGGATGATATTGGATGATATTGGATGATATTGGATGATATTGGATGATATTGGATGATATTGGATGATATTGGATGATATTGGATGATATTGGATGATATTGGATGATATTGGATGATATTGGATGATATTGGATGATATTTTGATAAATCAGTAGAATGGGATGGTAAAAAAATCATGGCTTTCACTTGGGTTGGTTAGCCTTTCCCTCTCTTTTATGGGCCAAAGGCACAGGTGTCCACTCCCAGTTGGTGAGATTAAGACAGAAGAAAACATGATCAATGATGAGTGAATCTTCATGGATCTTGGATGTAACTACTCTAGCCACATCTTCATATTGACAGCAAGATGAGGTATTTTTTCCAAACAAAGGGCATGGTTTTGGGAGGCCATGACGGGGCCCTGTTCTGGCTTTTGTCAAACATGGGAAACCCCGATCATTCAACGACCATGAACTATCTAAATCCATCATCCAGGTAATTTTTTGATAAAACCATGTCAGTTTATTTCATATCAGGCATTTCATTGATGGAGATCCTCAAGGCAGTGACAAATTCCAAATTCGAATCGCACAAAAAAACACTGGGTGTGTAATGTGGGCAAAACAATGTCATAGACCATCCCCCAGTCACCATTTTTGTTCGGCGGTATCTTTACCATTCCCAGCCATGGGTTGTTTATTACCAAGAAATGGATACTGAATACCAAAAAAGACCCTTCCATTGGTGGACATCCGACATCTTAAAATAACCCACCCGCAGATGGGTGAAATCCAGCATCGGTTTTTCCCCCTTTTTTTCAATCAGCGTTACCGGGCGGTGAGGCATCCAAACATCACCAAGTGCCTGGAAATGCTGCACAGCAACTCCCGGCTCTTCCTGGTGATGGAGTTTGCTGGGAGTCCCTTGGCGTTGTCAGATGTAGGGATTCTTTTTATCAATAGATATATGGCTACATACATATATATATAGATAGATAGATAGATAGATAGATAGATAGATAGATAGATAGATAGATGTATATCTAATATCATGTATATTTACATATACAAGGCTAATAATACACATTTTGTATTATCAAATATCATATAGTTTCCGACATCAACGCAGTGCTGAAGCTCCGGAATGGCATCTTGCTTTTCATTTGAGAGGCAATCTGTAGACTGGAAGTACGGCAGCCTAAACAGCATGCCCCAGAATCTCCGGAAATCTAATATCATATCAAAGCGATCAATATACTGTCATTTTCTTCTCATGCCATGGGAGTTCTCATGCCTCACCTTTACCAAAGACGGAACAGAGATATAGCGACCCGAGCGCACCAAACCAAGCTTTGCCAGGCCAGAACATTGAGCACATGCTGCGAGGCTGGAGAACTGGTGGTGCTCCCCCAGCTATAAGTTGGTAAACCATAGCAACTATAGATTTGTCTACCATAGACCTAATTTTTCTGGACAAAAATAAACTCCCTTAGCTACTTATGGGGACCCTGCATGGCACTGGAGGAATAAAAGTATAGAACCGATTATTAATTCCACTCTCTCATAAGCCTATGATGTTATTGAATCAGGCTTAGCAGTAAAGCCTGGACTTCGCAAAACTCCAGGGCGAGAAATTCTGAGGTCGAACACAACAGCGAATGAATGAGTCCGAGGTGAACAATTGTTCTTGGGCATTTGAGACTGGTTGATGGATGTTGATGGGAGAGAGTGGGGAAGTTTAGTGACGAGGCCTTCCGAAGTCACAGGAGACCCCAATTCAGCTGGCAAGTTTTGATGTGAATGCTGACAGGTGCATCCCTATTTTTTGGGAACCCCCAGTTGGAGGGTGATTGCTGTTTCAGTGCGGCCGGATTTCTGGATGTTTCTGATTTTTGGCGCACATGTCCTGCAGTATACCCTCTGTTAAACATGGCTTGCTGGAAAATCCACCATGTATAGTTGACCCAGCCTGAAACCTCACCTAGTTGTGGGATTTGCCAGGATTCGCCCATGTTTAAGGACGGTAAGCCTGGCGGCCTCTAAGCCAACATGGAGGCTTGGTTTTCTCACCCGACTGAGGTTTTGAACAGGTGGTGAGGGGAGTGGCCCATCTCCACTCGAAGGCGGGGAGAAGTTCCGAAATGGATTAAACTGATTAAACCTTGCATGGTTTCTGGCATTGATCTGTTTGGAAATGCCCTGGGACCTGATTACAGCGACTGGAAGCATCTCAGCCACTGACAAACTGCAGGGCAATGGTTTGAAGATGCCTTGGCCATTTGCACTTTTGATGGACTGACCTTTGTTAGTCTTGGTTTGCCTTCATGTTTCTGGCACATAGATAACCATAGAAATGCAAGCAAATACGCACATCTACATGGTAGCTATATGTAACATATGTGTACGTATATACTAGATGCACATGTATGCATGTATGTATGTAATGTAATCCAAAGCACTGGAACGGAATGACATGGAATGCACTGGACTGCAATGTAATGTAATGTAATGTAAGATTATATAATTTAATTGATATACGTATCTATAATGTAATGTACCTCATGCAACGTAACGGAATGTAATCCAATGTAATGCATGCATGTATGTATATATATAAATATTACACAGAATCTGAAAGGCATATATAGAAAATACGTAGGTGTATTTTTCATTAGACACATGCATTACATGTATAGATCTCCGATGATCTTCGTCTCGTCTCGCTGCAGAACATCGCACATCGGAACATTTGCCTCCAGCACCTCATCCTCTCCACATTGGCCGGGAGTGACAGGCGCGGTGCCGTTGCTGGATACAGATAGCCGAAAAAACCAAAGCAATTTGAGACGGCGAGACCCCAACAGGAGATATGGTTGTTGCATGTTTTCAGATAGGTGTTTTTGCTGCCAAATTATTTCCAGTTTTGCAGTAAACTGGGGAGATGCTGTTGAAAACGGATTTACTCCAGCACTCAAACAGCCTAAAAGAACCTATGTATCCACTTCAGCTTTGGCCAAAAACCCTGGTACATTATTTGCTGATTTGCTGTTTGCCATTTAGGAGCTCGTAATCTTCATGATCTCTTTTTGGAATCCTTAGCTGCCAACAAGAAAGACAACTGACAATGCATGTTGTTTGATTGTATGCAATGCCTACCCAACCCAGGCATAAGATCGCCAAAGGCATGGAAGAAGAAACCACGTCTTTTCAAGACTCTTGAGACTAAAGTTGAAAAAAGGAGGAACCAACATCAAACACTGCGACAATTGGCAAGGAACACAATATGTTTGAAAACATCGTTCAGGGAGGCACATGGCTCTTCCTGTCAGTAATCAAACAGATTCTGTAAGACGAAAAAGGAGAACAAGAGCAGCCCCAAAACACATCTTCCAATTTGATGTTCAGCGTGTCCAGCGTGAACTCTTCATCCAGTCCAGATAAACTTTATGCCGGCTTGTCCGTGCCTAAAGTCCAGGGAGCACGTGCGAATTGTCGACTTCCAGAGTGCCATGCTGGTGAAACCAAATATGACCTCCAGAACTGTGCGCTCCTCAAGATCATCATGTCACACATGTGGCTATACATCAAGATCTACCATTATGTCATGAAACTATCCGTTTTCAAAAGGATGAAGATCCATAACAACAGCCATTCAATTTGGCCCATGGACTGCAACGAAGGCTTCAAACTTTCGAATCGATCAAGATGTTTTGACACCTGCAACCCCACAAATTAATGCTGTGTTTCAGCCTGGAAATTCGGACGTCTGGTTCCCAAAAAACACCAAAATCATGAAAAATCATCAGCCCCAAAGTCAGAAAAACATGTTTTCAGGTCACTTTTCAGCCCAAAAAACGATGGCTGCGAGGTCTGTGGTACCATGCCCTATATGGCACCAGAGATGGCAACTGGAGGTTGGATCCGATCGGAACTGATCCAACAGTTGGATGTTGAAAATGGATGAGTTGATGCTGTTGATCAATGGCTAATCCCATGGATGAGTTGATTAATGGCTGTCTGATTGCTATCACTTAAGGACCAGTTGGACTTATTTTTGTTTTGGAGATGAACAAAAAAGCGAGACGCACTACTAACCCTTACAAGCTAAATTGCTAACCTCAAGAGATCTTTGCCTAACCCCAATAAGGTAGATACAAAAAAGCTAGATGATCATAGTTCTTGTTAGCTTCGTTGCGTGACCACGGTTCCTTGGTGAAGGCCCATATTGGCCACACAGTGCCGATGCATGGAGTTGCGGGGTGGCAACTTGGCTTTCCATGTCGAAGATAGGAAGAGTTTGTAAGTGGATAGTACCTATATATATAATATGCATGCAAGAGGATAAGCACACATTATTTAATATACATATATATACATATATATATACATACATACATATACACCCTATATATGTAAATAATAATAATAATAAATAATAATAATAAATGATAATAATACAACATAATAATGATAATAACAATAATAATAGTAATAATTGATAATCATACTGGTAATAAATGATAATAATAATAATAATAATTTAAGGGCTGCCGCCCCTGCCGCCGACCCCGGAATCAACGACTAGGGAAGGTGGGTTTTGCATCTGTAGTATTTGTTTAAATATCAACGTTCAAATCGCGGCACACCAAAAATCAGCGCAAACCTGGTGAACTTGGTGTAGACCGTGTTGTTCTGTAAAACGCAGGGTTGGTTTGGGGGCATGGTAAAACCCAGGTTTTGGTGTCAGATTATTGGAGACATCTTCAAAATAAGCTTCAAAATGGTAATGTAAATGCTGCACCAAGACCCCGCTATTTGGAAACCCGTCCATGCCGTTCGGCTTGTCATTTTCGTGGGCCGTGGCCGCATGCAAATGTGTGGCAACATGTCGTGACCTCGGGAGTTATGGGAGGGCCCTGCTGCATTTGGCCACCTCTGGCAGGGGTGGTAGGCATAGCATGTGAAAAATGGTGGTGCTGCTGCTGCTCCTGCTACTCTTCTGAAACCTATAGAAAAAATGATTGTAGCTACCTTTTCCTCCTGTTTCCTGCTGCTGCTGCTCCTGCTCCTGCTACTCCGGTGGCAGGCTGCGACACCTAGAATCGAACCACTCCCAGCAGCAAATCCCCATGGCAGTAAAGGACGGAAAAGCATCAAAATTGCGCCCAAAAACTGCCTAATGTAACTTCTGAAACCCATAAAAAAAAATGATTTTAGCTACTTTTCCATCCTGTTTCCTCCTGCTGCTGCTGCTGCTCCTGCTCCTGCTACTCTTGTGAAACCTATAGAAAAAATGATTGTAGCTACCTTTTCCTCCTGTTTCCTGCTGCTGCTGCTGCTGCTCCTGCTCCTGCTACTCCGGTGGCAGGCTGCGACGCCTAGAATCGAACCACTCCCAGCAGCAAATCCCCATGGCAGTGAAGGACGGAAAAGCATCAAAATTGCGCCCAAAAACTGCCTAATGTAACTTCTGAAACCCATAGAAAAAGATGATTTTAGCTACTTTTTCCTCCTGTTTCCTCCTGCTGCTGCTGCTGCTGCTCCGGCTACTCTTCTGAAACCTATAGAAAAAATGATTGTAGCTACCTTTTCCTCCTGTTTCCTGCTGCTGCTGCTGCTGCTGCTCCTGCTCCTGCTACGCCGGTGGCAGGCTGCGACGCCTAGAATCGAACCACTCCCAGCAGCAAATCCCCATGGCAGTGAAGGACGGAAAAGCATCAAAATTGCGCCCAAAAACTGCCTAATGTAACTTCTGAAACCCATAAAAAAAATGATTTTAGCTACTTTTTCATCCTGTTTCCTCCTGCTGCTGCTGCTGCTCCTGCTGCTGCTGCTGCTCCTGCTGCTGCTGCTCCTGCTGCACCTACTCGTCTGAAACCTATAGAAAAAAATGATTGTAGCTACCTTTTCCTCCTGTTTCCTGCTGCTGCTGCTGCTGCTGCTCCTGCTCCTGCTACTCCGGTGGCAGGCTGCGACGCCTAAAATCGAACCACTCCCAGCAGCAAATCCCCATGGCAGTGAAGGACGGAAAAGCATCAAAATTGCGCCCAAAAACTGCCTAATGTAACTTCTGAAACCCATAGAAAAAGTTGATTTTAGCTACCTTTTCCTCCTGTTTCCTCCTGTTTCCTCCTGCTGCTGCTGCTGCTGCTCCTGCTCCTGCTACTCCGGTGGCAGGCTGCGACGCCTAAAATCGAACCACTCCCAGCAGCAAATCTCCATGGCAGTGAAGGACGGAAAAGCATCAAAATTGCGCCCCAAAACTGCCTAATGTAACTTCTGAAACCCATAGAAAAAGATGATTTTAGCTGCTTTTCCCTCCTGTTTCTTCCTCCTCCTGCTGCTGCTGCTCCTGCTCCTGCTACCCTTCTGAAACCTATAGAAAAAATGATTGTAGCTACCTTTTCCTCCTGTTTCCTGCTGCTGCTGCTGCTGCTGCTCCTGCTGCTGCTGCTCCTGCTCCTGCTACTCCGGTGGCACGCTGCGACGCCTAAAATCGAACCACTCCCAGCAGCAAATCCCCATGGCAGTGAAGGACGGAAAAGCATCAAAATTGCGCCCAAAAACTGTTTAATGTAACTTCTGAAACCCATAGAAAAAGATGATTTTAGCTTCTTTTTCCTCCTGTTTCCTCCTGCTGCTGCTGCTGCTGCTCCTGCTCCTGCTACCCTTCTGAAACCTATAGAAAAAAAATGATTGTAGCTACCTTTTCCTCCTGTTTCCTGCTGCTGCTGCTGCTGCTGCTGCTTCTCCTGCTCCTGCTCCTGCTACTCCGGTGGCAGGCTGCGACGCCTAAAATCGAACCACTCCCAGCAGCAAATCCCCATGGCAGTGAAGGACGGAAAAGCATCAAAATTGCGCCCAAAAACTGCCTAATGTAACTTCTGAAACCCATAGAAAAAGTTGATTTTAGCTACTTTTTCCTCCTGTTTCCTCCTGCTGCTACTGCTGCTGCTCCTGCTCCTGCTACTCGTCTGAAACCTATAGAAAAAATGATTGTAGCTACCTTTTCCTCCCGTTTCCTGCTGCTGCTGCTGCTGCTGCTGCTCCTGCTACTCCGGTGGCAGGCTGCGACGCCTAAAATCGAACCACTCCCAGCAGCAAATCCCCATGGCAGTGAAGGACGGAAAAGCATCAAAATTGCGCCCAAAAACTGCCTAATGTAACTTCTGAAACTCATAGAAAAAGATTATTTTAGCTACTTTTTCCTCCTGTTTCCTCCTGCTGCTGCTGCTGCTGCTCCTGCTCCTGCTACTCCGGTGGCAGGCTGCGACGCCTAAAATCGAACCACTCCCAGCAGCAAATCCCCATGGCAGTGAAGGACGGAAAAGCATCAAAATTGCGACCAAAAACTGTTTAATGTAACTTCTGAAACCCATAGAAGAAGATTATTTTAGCTACCTTTTCCTCCTGTTTCTTCCTCCTGCTGCTGCTCCTGCTCCTGCTACTTTTCTGAAACCTATAGAAAAAAATGATTGTAGCTACCTTTTCCTCCCGTTTCCTGCTGCTGCTGCTGCTTCTCCTGCTCCTGCTACTCCGGTGGCAGGCTGCGACGCCTAAAATCGAACCACTCCCAGCAGCAAATCCCATGGCAGTGAAGGACGGAAAAGCATCAAAATTGCCCCCAAAAACTGTTTAATGTAACTTCTGAAACCCATAGAAGAAGATGATTTTAGCTACTTTTTCCTCCTGTTTCCTCCTGCTGCTGCTGCTGCTGCTACTTGTCTGAAACCTATAGAAAAAAATGATTGTAGCTACCTTTTCCTCCTGTTTCCTGCTGCTGCTGCTGCTACTCCTGCTCCTGCTACTCCGGTGGCAGGCTGCGACGCCTAAAATCGAACCACTCCCAGCAGCAAATCCCCATGGCAGTGATGGACGGAAAAGCATCAAAATTGCGCCCAAAAACTGCCTAATGTAACTTCTGAAACCCATAGAAAAAGATGATTTTAGCTACCTTTTCCTCCTGTTTCCTCCTGTTTCCTCCTGCTGCTGCTGCTGCTCCTGCTCCTGCTACTCCGGTGGCAGGCTGCGACGCCTAAAATCGAACCACTCCCAGCAGCAAATCCCCATGGCAGTGAAGGATGGAAAAGCATCAAAATTGCGCCCAAAAACTGCCTAATGAAACTTCTGAAACGTATAGAAAAAAATGATTGTAGCTACCTTTTCCTCCTGTTTCCTGCTTCTGCTGCTGCTGCTGCTGCTCCTGCTCCTGCTACTCCGGTGGCACGCTGCGACGCCTAAAATCGAACCACTCCCAGCAGCAAATCCCCATGGCAGTGAAGGACGGAAAAGCATCAAAATTGCGCCCAGAAACTGCCTAATGTAACTTCTGAAACCCATAGAAAAAGATGATTTTAGCTTCTTTTTTCTCCTGTTTCCTCCTGCTGCTGCTGCTGCTCCTGCTACTCTTGTGAAACCTATAGAAAAAATGATTGTAGCTACCTTTTCCTCCTGTTTCCTGCTGCTGCTGCTGCTGCTTCTCCTGCTCTGCCTAATGTAACTTCTGAATCCCATAGAAAAAGATGATTTTAGTTACTTTTTCCTCCTGTTTCCTCCTGCTGCTACTGCTGCTGCTCCTGCTGCAGCTACTCGTCTGAAAACTATAGAAAAAATGATTGTAGCTACCTTTTCCTCCTGTTTCCTGCTGCTGCTGCTGCTGCTGCTCCTGCTCCTGCTACTCCGGTGGCAGGCTGCGACGCCTAAAATCGAACCACTCCCAGCAGCAAATCCCCATGGCAGTGAAGGACGGAAAAGCATCAAAATTGCGCCCAAAAACTGCTTAATGTAACTTCTGAAACCCATAGAAAAAGATGATTTTAGCTACTTTTTCCTCCTGTTTCCTCCTGTTTCCTCCTCCTGCTGCTGCTGCTGCTGCTCCTGCTACTCCGGTGGCAGGCTGCGACGCCTAAAATCGAACCACTCCCAGCAGCAAAACTCCATGGCAGTGAAGGACGGAAAAGCATCAAAATTGCGCCCAAAAACTGCCTAATGTAACTTCTGAAACCCATAGAAAAAGATTATTTTAGCTGCTTTTCCCTCCTGTTTCTTCCTCCTGCTGCTGCTGCTGCTCCTGCTCCTGCTACTCTTCTGAAACCTATAGAAAAAATGATTGTAGCTACCTTTTCCTCCTGTTTCCTGCTGCTGCTGCTGCTCCTGCTCCTGCTACTCCGGTGGCACGCTGCGACGCCTAAAATCGAACCACCCCCAGCAGCAAATCCCCATGGCAGCGAAGGACGGAAAAGCATCAAAATTGCCCCCAAAAACTGTTTAATGTAACTTCTGAAACCCATAGAAGAAGATGATTTTAGCTACCTTTTCCTCCTGTTTCTTCCTCCTGCTGCTGCTGCTGCTCCTGCTCCTGCCACTCTTCTGAAACCTATAAAAAAAATTATTGTAGCTACCTTTTCCTCCCGTTTCCTGCTGCTGCTGCTGCTGCTGCTTCTCCTGCTCCTGCTACTCCGGTGGCAGGCTGCGACGCCAAAAATCGAACCACTCCCAGCAGCAAATCCCATGGCAGTGAAGGACGGAAAAGCATCAAAATTGCACCCAAAAACTTCCTAATGTAACTTCTGAAACCCATAGAAAAAGTTGATTTTAGCTACCTTTTCCTCCTGTTTCCTCCTGTTTCCTCCTGCTGCTGCTGCTGCTGCAGCTACTTGTCTGAAACCTATAGAAAAAAATGATTGTAGCTACCTTTTCCTCCTGTTTCCTGCTGCTGCTGCTGCTCCTGCTCCTGCTACTCCGGTGGCAGGCTGCGACGCCTAAAATCGAACCACTCCCAACAGCAAATCCCCATGGCAGTGAAGGACGGAAAAGCATCAAAATTGCGCCCAAAAACTGCCTAATGTAACTTCTGAAACCCATAGAAAAAGATAATTTTAGTTACTTTTTCCTCCTGTTTCCTCCTGCTGCTGCTGCTCCTGCTCCTGCTACTTTTCTGAAACCTATAGAAAAAATGATTGTAGCTACCTTTTCCTCCTGTTTTCTGCTGCTGCTGCTGCTCCTGCTCCTGCTACTCCGATGGCAGGCTGCGACAACTCTAGTGCTGCTGCTGCTGCTACTACTACTACTGCTGCTGCTGCCTTACTGCCACTGGCTGCTGGCTGCCGACTGCTGCTGCTACAAGCCCCTTCTCCTGCTGGTGTGCTAGTGCTGCTGCTACAACTCTAGTGCTGCTGCTGCTACTACTGCTGCTGCTGGCTGCTGGCTGCACCATGCTACTGAAGGACGACTACTACTGCTGCTGCTGCTGGTGCTGCTGCTGCTGGTACAAGAGTCAAAAGTAGGTGTGCTAGTGCTGCTGCTACAACTCTAGTGCTGCTGCTGCTGCTGCTACTACTGCTGCTGCTGCTGCTGGCTGCTGGCTGCACCATGCTACTGAAGGACGACTACTACTGCTGCTGCTGCCTTACTGCCGCTAGCTGCTGGCTGCCGACTGCTGCCGACTAGCTAGTATTGCCGCTGACTATGTGCTGCCGACTGCTGCTGCTACAAGCCCCTTCTCCTGCTGGTGTGCTAGTGCTGCTGCTACAGCCGACTGCTGCCGACTGGTTAGTATTGCCGCTGACTATGTGCTGCCGACTGCTGCTGCTACAAGCCCCTTCTCCTGCTGGTGTGCTAGTGCTGCTGCTACAACTCTAGTGCTGCTGCTGCTGCTACTACTGCTGCTGCTGCTGGCTGCTGGCTGCACCATGCTACTGAAGGACGACTACTACTACTACTGCTGCTGCTGCTGCTGCTACAAGACCCTTCTCCTGCTGGTGTGCTAGTGCTGCTGCTACAACTCTAGTGCTGCTGCTGCTGCTACTACTGCTGCTGCCTTATTGCCACTGGCTGCTGGCTGCCGACTGCTGCTGCTACAAGCCCCTTCTCCTGCTGGTGTGCTAGTGCTGCTGCTACAACTCTAGTGCTGCTGCTGCTGCTACTGCTGCTGCTGCTGCTGCCTGCTGGCTGCACCATGCTACTGAAGGACGACTACTACTGCTGCTGCTGCTGCTGGTGGTGCTGCTGCTGCTGCTGCTGCTACAAGAGTCAAAAGTATTATTCCCTGGCGCGCTCCCCCTTGCGTCTGCCGGGGTCGGCGGATTATTTGCAAAAATTGGCTGCAGCTGCTGCTGCTGCTGCTACTGCGGCTGTTTCTACTGCAGCCCGGCAAGGAAACACCATGCTACTGAAGGACGACTGTTCCTGCTGTTGCTGCTGGCTGCTGCTGCTCCTGCTGACCACCCCTCAAAAAGGCGGCTCCCGGCAGGGAAACAGCATGCTGCTAAAGGATAGCATAACATAACCTAGCATAGTATAGCATAGTATAGTGGAGTCTAGTAGATCAGAGTAGAGTAGAGTAGCTTCGATGAGAGTAGAGTGTAATATATAGTAAAGTATATATCTATATATATATATATATATTATATATATACATCGAGCTCACAAAATGCTGCTGCTGCTGATGAAGAGTCACAAATCTTTTTCCCTGGCGCGCTCCCCCTTGCTGCCAGCCGGGGTCGGCGGATAGTAATAATAATAATAACAACAATAATAATAATGATAATAATAATAATATGCATGCATGCACGCATGCACGCATGCATCCATCCATCCATCCATCCATCCATCCATCCATCCATCCATCCATCCATCCATCCACATATGTACGAGCGTACGTACATAGATGGATAGATAGATAGATAGATAGATAGATAGATAGATAGATATATTTATACACCCATTATTTGAGTGGTAACCCCAACAATAAACCCTCCCCAGGTCATCAGCATTTTCACCAAGGCCCTCCTGGAGATGGCAGGTGGTCTGGGTTCACTCCGAGCTGGGGTGAAGTTTGACCCCGAGGCCAGGCTACCTGGGGGCTACCCAGGGAGCTACCCAGGGGACTACCCAGGGCTACCCACGGCGTCAAGGGGAACATCAAGAAATGGATCCTGAAAATTCGACTATCAATTTTTCAAATTGGAGATAAAATGGGGATAGAATGAGGATATATATAATGGGATAATGGAATGATAATGAACCATGCTAGGGATATAATGGGATAGAATAGTACTCATGGTGATATATTGGGATACTGGAATAAGAACGGACAATAGGGAGACAGTGATACTAATGATGATAATGGGAATGCTCTGACACGGTCGTCTGTATCGCTTGCAACCGCCAAATTTGCATCGCTTACACCCGCGTGATTTGTATCGCTTGCACTGCCATCATGGCTCTGGGTCAGGATAATGTCTAATTATCATTTTCCATGTCATCATGAAGACTATCATCATTGCCACTGTCATCATTGCCACTGTCATCATTGCCACTGTCATTAGTGCCATTGTCATTATTGCCACTGTCATCATTGCCACTGTCATTAGTGCCATTGTCATTATTGCCACTGTCATCATCGTAATCATCATCAACATCATCACCACCATCACCATCACCATCACCATCACCATCATCACCATCACCATCACCATCATCACCATGACCATCACCATGACCATCACCATGACCATCACCATGACCATCACCATGACCATCACCATGACCATCACCATTATCGCCATCATCATCATCATGATGATGATCATCATCATCATTATCATCATCATCATCATCAGCAGCATCAGCATCAGCATCAGCATCAGCATCAACATCATCGTCATCATCGTCATCATCATCATCATCATATCGTCATCGTCATCGTCATCGTCATCAATCATTATCATCATCATTATCGTCATAGTTATCATCATCGTTATCATCATCGTTATCATCATCGTTATCATCATCATCATCGTCATCATCGTCGTCATCATCATCATCGTCATCATCGCCATCATCGTCATCATCGTCATCATCGTCATCGTCATCGTCATCGTCATCATCATCATCATCATCATCATCATCACCATCACACTCATCATCATCATCATCATCTTCATCATCATCATCATCAGCAGCATCATGGACTTGATATGTTTTTTTTTTCTTCTTCTTTTTCTTCATTCATCATCATCAGCACCTTGGATGTCATCAACCTGAGTATGTAGTACTTAGTATGTCATGCCATCACCAAACTCACTTACACCGCAGGCACTCACTTACAACCAACAAAATTCGAATCACTTACACCAGCACTCCTTTTCTAGGGGATGCCAAAATTTATGTTCAGGGTGTAAGAAGCAGGTACGACAACTTTAGGGTTTCCGTGCTTGACACAGGAAGTACACAGGTACGACACCTTGAGGGTTTCTGTGTTTCACAACGGAAGTATATAGGTGCGACACCTTTAGGGTTTCTGTGCTTCACACAGGAAGTATACAGCTACAACACCTTCAGGGTTTCTTCGCTTCACACAAGATATACACAGGCACGACACCTTTAGGATTTCTTCGTGTCACACAGGAATCACAGGTACGACACCTTGAGGGTTTTTGTGCTTCACAAAAGAAGTACACAGGTACGACACCTTTAGGGTTTCTTCGCTTGACACAGGATAGACACAGGCATCACACCTTCAGGGTTTCTCTGCTTCTCACGACACCTTTAGGGTTTCTTTTCTTCACGCAGGAAGGACGCAGGTACGACACCTTGAGGGTTTCTTCTTTGCTTCGCACAGGAAGTACACAAGTACGAAGGGTTTAGAGTTTCTTCGCTTCACAAAGGAAGTACACAGGTACGACACCTTTAGGCTTTCTTCGCTTGACGCAGGGTATACACAGGCACGACACCTTTAGGGTTTCTCTGCTTTTCAGGACACCTTTAGGGTTCTTTTCTTCACGCAGGAAGGACGCAGGTACAACACATTTAGGGTTTGATTGCTTCACACAGGAAGTACACAGGTACGAAGCCTTTAGGGCTTCTTCGCTTCACAAAAGAAGTACACAGGCACGACACCTTTAGGGTCTCTTTGCTTCACACAGATGTTGGCAGCAAGTTTTTGTGAATCATGTCAGCTCTAGGCTCTGCCTGCTTTGATGATAATGGTCGTGATGAGGACGGTGATGCACATGATGGTGACTCTGATGATGGCATGATTTACTAGATATTTAGGTTTTTGATGTCAATGATGCTGATCATGAAGAAGGAATGGAAGGTGATGATAATGTAAGTGAGTCTGTAGCCTTCTGACACACTGCAACATGACATTTCTATTGATATGGTGAGTACGGGCCCAAGTGAGTACCCGCAAAATTCGTCGGGTCATGATCCTGAAAGTAAAGCTCTGTGGTTTTCAGGGTCACAAATTTTGACCCATGGTCATTTTATTATGTCTCAAAACGTGGGCACCCCCAAACTGCATAATTTGGTCATCATTTCATGTCCATATACAACACATAGGAAAAATATGGCCAGTGAATGCGGTATCCAACCCAACCCTAAGCACAAACCAGACATGTAGTAACCCCCAAAACCACAAACCACCCCCAATGACTTACCGTAAATGGGTGGGTATCATGGTATCAGCACTTGGGGCTTCATGGCGGGTGAATCCCACACGATCCCCAAACTTTGGTCAAATCCTCACGATCCCCCTTATTTTGAATGGTTGTACCCTCTGGGCAATTTAACATAGCTATTGAAAATGGTCAGGTTTTTGGCACAAGTGTGAGCAAATTGAGCGGATTGATCTACTCTCTCTGCCATGGCGCAACTGCTTTGCCATTCTACTAAGGTTTGCTTTTTTCTACTAAGGGAAATCTACAATGGCTGCTCTTTGTGAAATGGTGATGGCCAGGGACGATTCTGCTTACCGTGATCATCCTGGGTTAGGGGCGCACAGACTGCATGTCTCTCATACTTGGATTCCTCTTATTTTGGCAGTGATGGCACATTTTTCTCTTTTTCATTCAACTCACAACCATTACTGGGAGCAGTGGCTCACCGGGAGACCGCGGCAATCTCCGTGCGGATGATGACTCTTGATTACGCCGGCATTTACCTCCTCCATGACATGCAACCGGTCACGAACCCCACAGTGCGGCGGAGGGGAGCCCTCCTCAAATCAAGCAGTTAGCCTTTCAATTTTGTAGGCCTCTTCTTTTTGGCAGCACCTTGAATTTCACCCTCGCAGAGTGCTGTCCCCTTCCGAAAAGGGTGCAAGTTAGTCAAGATCCGCTTTCGTTTGTTAGGGAAGATTTTCCTTCCAGCATTTTGAGCTCTCTTGGCATGCACTGCTAACGTGTAGTCCAGAGGCCTTATAGCGGACTGCAATTCGCTGGTCAAAAAAAAATGAAAACTGCCCACAGAAATAGTTGATTTACCGAAATTACAGATGGTGATTTTCCAGTTTGCTATGTTAGTTTACCAGAGGGTATCCCTACTTTTGATGGTTAAACCCACCAATCCTCCAGCTGGAGGCAGCTGCAGAATCTATCGCCCCAACTTTGATGCACTTCTTTGAAGATCCTGGTCCCCTGCATGTCTTGACGGGACCTGGCGGTGGCTGTCCCAAAAGAGGGACCGCAAGAAATGAATCTAGGTGATGAAGAATGTGGCTTTATATTTGATGTATCAAAAACACACGTGCACACACACACACACATATATATATATGTTTACATATTTACACAATGTATGTCGTATATATATATATTTATATTTATATATATAATATATATATATATTTATATTTATATATAATATATATTTATATATTTATATTTATATATATATAATATATATATATAATATATATAATATATATATATAATATATATATATATCAGCTGGTGCTAACTATTTGGTGTGATTTTGTTGGTCGCTTTTCTTTCTGGAAGACTCAAGCCGATGAAGAACTTGGCAAAGTTTGGATTCAGATTCTCCAGCCAAATGTTTTTTTCTCTGAAAGTGGGGTGCCCCTAAAATCCACATGGCGTTTGTTCACTTTTGCCATGAAAACATGCAATTTTTGGAACGGGAGAAAATTATGGTTTCCTGTCGAGTTTCGCGCCAATCATACCAAGCATAATCCCCATGAGTTGATCTTTTTTATTTCAATTTCATCTAATCTCTATTAGTTGGATAATATTCATTGTTTTCCAATCGGAAGAGATGATGGATCCTACTCGGAAATCTTGGAAACCCTCAAACCACTTTCAGTTAAGCCAATGATGGGACCTATCCATATCTATCCTTGATTTTCCTTAAGCCAACCCATCGGAACCTCGCAACAACTCACCGATCTGTCGAAACATGGCCAGTGAGCCACTCCGAAGCCCTGGCGGTGATTGATGGTGCCAGTGGCTCAGTGGATGGACGGATGGATGGATGCATGGATGGATGGATGGATGGATGCATGGATGGATGCATGGATGGATGGATGGATGGAGGGATGGATGGATGGATGGAGAGTGTATATACACACACACACCTATTTACATATTATGTGCTAACTAATATGCCATCGTTGCTTTGTCTGTACAGAGGAAATATCCCAAACCTGATGGTTTCAAAGGCCAGACACCTAGTGATTCTCGTACGGGGTGAGGCCCCTTATAAGTTGGTTTATAAACCCGGCGTTTTAAAGGGATTTGATAGGGACATATGTATATAAATAAATAAATAAATAAATATATATATATATATTCTGGGAATAGGATTGCATTAATGACAAAGGATATTGTGATTTAAAAAGGACATAGTGATTTAGTGGGATATTTAAGGGAGTTTTTTTTTAATGGGATTCAAGCAATCACTGGGAATGTGGCTGCATTTTGCCAGCAAAAACTAGGGATTCAACCATGAAGGTCCAATTTATGATAGCTAAGTTGACTTATAGCTTGGTCAACTAGGGTTTATGGGCGTGGGCTATGACTGAAAACACGAACCGAACGAGGTCGACACCATCACAGTCATCGAGCAGCTTGAGCAGCTCTTAATGCCGAGCTGGGCAGACAGGAAGCGAGTTCCAGTGCTGGTGGTCCCATGGTCCGATATGGTCTGAGGGGTTGAAAGAATAATGATGGAAACATAATAATAAACCAGAAATTTACCCAAAAAATGGTAGGTGATTATTATCATCAGGATCATCTCATTATATTCCCATATACTAGTGATTATATGATAGTGATAATATGGATTGTAATGGATACCAGTATCGCTACAATCATCCCAATATAACGTAGGTAAAACAGTAAAAACCACCCCATTTTTGATGGTTGGAATCGCACCCATTTATGTTGATTTTGGGGATGGTTTTTGACATTGTTTAAACCACTGGGAAATACCAGGGGATGTTTTAATGGAAAGACCATCTATAAATGTTGGAACACGTGTGATCTTCCAGAATCACATGACAAAAAGGGTTGGAAATATGGATGTTGGTGGATCAGGTGAAGGGGGAATATCCGGTTGAACCATTTCATGGGATATGCAACCAACGTTCTTTTTTGTTTTCTTTCATGAGCTTCCAGCATTTTTGGATGGCGTTGTGATTTTTTGCCTTCCCCATGTGGCTGAGCGATATGTCATATATATCCCCGGCAGCTCCCATGGCGTTTTGGCGCAGGATTGTGCTCAAGAATTTGCTCCCGGAGAACCAGCCTGGAGCAGAGCAGGAACTGCTTCAACATGCACCTCGGATTCGAAGGCGCAATGGATAAAATGGCTGGGTGGCCTCAGTGTTTGTCTTGACATCAATATGCGTTATAGCATCGTTCTTGTTGGCACATGTTTTTTTGCTATATAATACTGTTCTGTCTTTTCTTGCTGCTACAACTTCATGTCGTGGCTGGGCTGGTGGGCATTCGCGCCTTTCATGATATTTTGAAGCAAATGTAGATAACAGAACCTTCCCCTAGTGTCGAATATAACCGTTTCAAAAACCAACAGCTCATCAAAAATCCGTACTTTGCCACAGAAATTCCACAGTTTAGCTCACAATTTCCATCATCCTGTGGGCTCAGGAGCAGCAGCGGCTTCTGGAACAACAGCAACAGCAGCAGTTGTCTGGACACCAAGAGACGATGAGAAACCTCTCATGTGACGAAGAAACAATGTTCGTTAAGGAATGTGGCAAAGCGGTAAACCCAAACTTCAACCTCTTTTTGCTTTTGGACGCACATAAACACACAATATACAGTAAACACACACACACATATATATATATATACATACATGAAGATAAACAGATACATATATATATATATATGAATATAAATTTAAAATAAACACGTACGTAAATGGACAAATTAAAACAACAAGTAAGTAAATAAATAAATTAAAAATGAATAATATATATATATATATAGTGATTTCCAGAACTTGTTCACCTCATGCCGGGGAGCCATTGCATTGCCAGTGCCATTTGTTCCTTGGGTGGCAAGACCATTTCTATCCAGACCTATGGCCCGAGCTGGGGGCTTGGGTGCCCATCGACCGGGGACGTCCATAGAAAAACAGGTGCGAGGTCGCACTGTGGTGGAGGCTCTGGAGGGCCTATTGTGGTTTGGAGATTGGTGGTGGACAGGAGGGCTACCGGTGTAGATTCTACACTGGTAGCGGAGCTGTGCTCAGACAGCTCGCTACAGCACGGCAATCTTGCGCCGCTTGTAGGTGTCTGGAAGCTGAGGATCCAGGGAGGAGGACAACATGGAAGAAGCTAGTGGTGGCCCATCTCAATCCACCCAAACGTCAGGTTCCACTTCCACCAGTTTGTCTCATCTACCTTGGTCGCAAATCCCTGCATTCAGACCTGGTGATACAGATATTCATGCGCTGGCAGCCAAGATCGATGCCAATTGCCGAGATGAGAGCGTGCACATGCTTTTGTGCCATGCCATGCTTCGCTTGCAGTTGTGGCGTTCAAATGACAGCCATTTCCATTTGGAACAGCCCCAAGGATCAGAGTTGGTTTTTCAACACGAAATGTCCAACATTGTGCGGCCCACCCTTCGGGCAATTTGTGACATGTGCGCTTCTGGAAAGTTACAAAACCCGACCTCACATGATCTCATACGTAAACGCACCCAGATTCTCACCACTTCTGAGATTATGCATCGTATGTTGGAAACTTTGCAGTGTTCCAAGGAACATGAACATGCTGTCATCCAAGGAAGTTGCAAACCGTCAGGTAAGAGTAGGATGCTGTTGTCACAATATTGAGTTGTATACTGCCACTTTCGGTCGCAAGCTTACCCGTGCCATCCTCTGCAGTGTGCAAGCCCGTGAGCAACAGTGCCTGTCTGTCCTTTCCGAGCGAAGCCTTGGCCGGACTTTTGCATGCCACAATTTGTGCAGTTCGTGCCGAAGCGCCCGGAGCCAGTAGTGCCGAGCCCGACTCCGGAAAGTATTTCAGCAAGGGGACATCCTGTCCCAAGTTCAAGCTTTGTTTCCTGACAAGGTAGCAAAGGTTGTGGAAGCATGTCGAGGAGTCGACAGGCACCGTGAAGTTCGCATTCATTGCAACCCAGCCGCACTTCATGCCATTTCGACGGACTTGTGGCCGCCGTCGTGCTGATCACCATGCAGATCTACTGTGATGTGGAAAAAATGGGACTCAACAAACACTGTCCGCAAAATCACCAGAAATGCTATCCCTGAAGCGCAGCTGCTTCGTACCCGATGGGTATTGACCTGGAAGACCATTGACGCCATTGAACAGCAAGAACTTGGAGTCAGTAAAAAGGCTAAGGCCAGGCTTGTAATCTTGGGTTTTGAAGATCCCTTCGTAGATACCCTGGAACGTGATTCCCCCACGTTAGGTCGAGACAGACGAATGCTTGCCTTACAGCTCATTTCCAGTCATCGTTGGCCGGTACGATCGTTCGACATTCGTACCGCGTTCTTGCGTGGCAGCCGACAGGATGGTCGGATTGTGGGAGTTGAGCCTCCAGAAGAAATGCGGCAGCTCATGGGTCTTGAAGATCACGAAGCTTGTGAGCTTCTTCAAACAGCCTACGGGCTTATCAATGCTCCCTTGCTATGGTACAGCCCTTTTCAACCTGGGTTTTCCGATGTCACCTTTTGATCCATGTACGTTTGTTCTACCCAAGAGAACTTCACAGTCTAATGGTTCAGATGAAGGTGCCAGCAGTAGCAAAATTCATGGTATCCTTGGAGTGCATGTCGATGATGGTTTGGGGGGCGGTGACCAGATTTTTCAAGAAACCATAGCCAAATTGGAGGCCCGTTTTCCTTTCGGCAACAAACGACAGGGATCGTTTACGTTCACTGGCATACAGATTGACCAGCAGTCCAATGCGGATACCATTCTCAACCAACAAAACTACATTCAAGACATTCCCAACATACATGTACCACAAGAACGCAGACAAACACCTTCAAGTCCCATTACCAAAGATGAACTGCAGAGTTTTCGTGGCCTCATCGGCAGTTTACAATTTGCAGCAACCAACGCCCGACCGGACCTGTCCTGTAAACTCAGTCTTCTACAAGCAAAAGTAGCCAATGCCACAGTAGCTGACCTCCTTCAAGGAAATAGACTTTTAGAAGAGGCCAAGAAACATAGTTCCACCATGTTCCATCAGCATACGCATACAGTCCATTCCCGCACCTGATGTCCAGTTCATGTCGTTTTCTGATGCTGCTTTCGCAACACGGGAAAAGGCCAACTCCCAGAAAGGATGTTTGATTTTGGCAACCAACAAACAGATTATTGAAGTTCAACCTGCAGTAGTAAGTCCAGTTACCTGGTTTTCAAAGAAAATTGCGCGAGTTGTGTCTTCGACTCTTGCGTCGGAAACCTATGCACTTTCAGGTGCCTTGGATTTGCCCAGTTGGACTCGCAGTCATTGGGCTTGGCTGCTTGATCCGTCAATTTGTTGGCAAACTCCTGAGGAGACTTTTTAGCATCCCTTCCTAAGGCTTTTGCAGTGGTTGATTGTAAATCTCTCTATGATCTTCTTCAAGAAAACCTCAGTGCCCCAGTGCAGTGAGTGCAGAGCCATGCTAGAAGCACGTGTGATTCGCGACTGGTTGCGCGAAGGGGTGACAGTCAAATGGGTGCATTCAGCAGCCCAGATGGCAGACAGTCTCCCAAAGGATATGGATGCCTCCACTCTACGTGCTTTCTTGTCTCGGGGTCGTTGTGTGCATCATGACATCGATGAAATTTTACGTCAACGTTCAGATAAGAAACTGCGAAGTGAATGGTGTCAGCGCTCCACGACTCCATGTGAAGAGACCATCCCTTTCAATCACTGCCAGCAGCTCTCTGCAGGTCAAGAACTTTTGGCATAATTTTTCAAAGTGTAGAGTTTTTTAGGAGTGTGATTTGCAGAACTTGTTCACCTCATGCCGGGGAGTCATTGCATTAACAGTGCCATTTGTTCCCTGGGTGACAAGATCACTTCCATCCAGACCTATGGCCCGAGCTGGGGGCTTGGGTGCCCATCGACCAGGGACGTCTTTCGTTGGTGCAGCCATAGAAAAACAGGTGCGAGGAAGCAATGTTGTGGAGGCTCCGGACGGCCTATTGTGGTTTGGAGATTGGTGGTGGATAGGAGGGCTCTCAGTGTAGATTGGACAATAAATAAATATGTAAATAAATAAATGAAAATATACATAGACATATATCTATATGTAAACACACACACACATATATATATATATATCAACACACTCACATATATATATATATTTATATCAACACGCACACACACATATATATATATATATCAACACACACACACATATATATATATAAAGATATCAACACACACATATATATATATTTATATCAACACGCACACACACATATATATATATATATCAACACACACACACGTATATATATATATATATATATCAACACACACATATATATATATATACACATACATGTAAACATATATACATATAAGCACACATACATATATATATATATCTTTTGTATTATAAACACATATATGTAAACATACGTGCACACAAACACACACATATGTATATATATATATTTATATATATATTCATGAACAGTACATACATGTGTAATTATATAGACTATAGATAATGTTTATTTTCCCCCAAGTCTTGTGCCTGCACCATCCGAAAAGGCTTCAGATGATGCAAATGGGCCAAGTGCCGCAGGGCCAAGCGCTGCCGGCACCGGGCCAGCTGGGCCAGATGGGCCGGCCGATACTTCAGCAGGCAGAGCTCGGTGATGTTTTCTCTAATAAAGGAGTCCTATGATAACAACCATTTGGGTAAGGATGCAAACCCACTAATCATGTGATGATGATGATGATGATGATGATGGTGTTGATGATGATGATGGTGATGATGATGATGATGATGGTAAGGCGATGGCAAAATGATATGAATGATGGGAGATTGGATAATGATGGGGGAATGATATGGGAGAATGATAAGAAAATGATAAGGGGGGAATGTTGGCATAATGATGATGACATAATCACGAAAGGTAGCTCCAGTGGGGCTACCTTGCGTTTTGCTTTACGAAGTAAAGGGGAGGGTGGCCAGCCCCGTTACCTGATTATTCAGGAGATTGCTAGTAATTTCAGTACTGGCCAAAAAGCACTGTAAATGCCGCGCTTTTTGTGACCAAAGGCAAAAACATTAAATACCGTGGCTTTGGGCTTCCGAGGCGCAACAAACATCAGTATTTACGGTGTTCCGAGAGTTTAAAAAAAACTGTAAACACCACCTATTTGACGATTTTCCGCCACTACAGGACTGAGAAAAAAACTGCACAGGTAACAGCAGCAACAACAACAAGAACAAGAACAAGAACAACAACAAGAACAAGAACAACAACAACAACAACAACAACAAGAACAACAACAAGAACAACAACAAGAACAACAACAAGAACAACAACAAGAACAACAACAAGAACAACAACAAGAACAACAACAAGAACAACAAGAACAACAAGAACAACAAGAACAACAAGAACAACAACAACAACAACAACAACACCAAGAACAGCAAGAACAGCAAGAACAGCAAGAACAGCAAGAACAGCAAGAACAGCAAGAACAGCAAGAACAGCAAGAACAGCAAGAACAGCAAGAACAGCAGGCAAGAACAGCAAGAACAGCAAGAACAGCAGAACAGCAAGAACAGCAAGAACAGCAAGAACAGCAAGAACAGCAAGAACAGCAAGAACAGCAAGAACAGCAAGAACAGCAAGAACAGCAAGAACCCAACAACAACCAACAACAACCAACAAACAACAACAAACAACAACCAACAACAACCAACAACAACCAACAACCAACAACAACAACAACAAAAACAACAACAAAAACAACAACAACAACAACAACAACAACAACAACAACAACAGCAACAGCAACAGCAACAGCAACAACAACAAAAACATGGAAACTTATGATCAGAGTGTTGCCTGCCGGACTTCAACCACAAAGAATGTCTGAAGATATGCCTGATAGAATGCCAGAAAAAGTTGCAGAATATATGAGATAAATGCGAATGCCAGATAGTATGTCAGAAAATATGTCAAAAACGTATAAAAAAGTGTCACTTGGCGGGGATCACTCGAAGAAAGTAATTTGTTCCGAAGGCTTTCAAAAATTGACTTAAGACAACCAAAATGACGCCTTGTGGGGCCCTGCGCGCATCATCGCTATTACCAACAGCGGTAACGACATCAAACATTTGATCGCGGATTCTTTTGTTTCATTTTTTTTGCGCTTTGGCTGTGGTGACGCGTTTTGCACCGATACGTTTCTACAAACAGACGACGTTACGCACAGAAACCTTTACACAGAGCAGCTTTTACGCGCAGATATTCTTACACAGAGAGGTTTGTGCACAAAAAAACATTGTACACAGACGCTTTTACACACAGAGGTTTTTACGCAAAGAAGGAAGTATTTACACAGATGTTTTGTACAAAGATGCTTCTGCGCGCAAAAATAAAAACATATTGGCGTTTTTACACGCAGAACCTTTGCCACAGAGAAGCCTTTGCACAGAACAGTCTTTACACTTTACACATGTTTTTTCTACGCAAGAAAACGTTTGACACAGAGAAACTTGTACACAGAGACTGCACACAAAAGTTTTTGCAAACCGATTTTTTTACACGCAGAAACTTTACCCAAAGCAGTTTTTACACAGCATAATTTTTTTTTTCGCACAGAAACCTTTACGCACAAAAATAGTTATGCGCAGCAGTTTTTACAGACATACGGTTTTTACTCCGCACAGAAATCTTACGCACAGAAGGTTTTACGCACAACATTTTTTACATACAGACGCTTTTACACACAGATGCCTTTACACAGACACAAATTGCACACAGAAACTTGTGCACACAGCACGCGTTTAACACAGTCAACTTTTACACGGAGAGCCTTTGCTTCCCCTTCTTGATCACCTACCTTTCGTGTTCCTCCTCTCAAGTAATGATTGCATTTTGTTGGGAAAATGATGGGGTAACAATGATGGGATAACGTCATGGGAGAATGCTAGGATAATAACCATGGCATAATGATGAGAGAATGACGGGATATTGGTGGGAGAATGGCGACATAATTACGGGAACATGATGGAAAAAATATGGCATGATGAAGGGACACTAATTATGGCATTATGATGAGATGGATAACTATATGGGAAAATGCTATCGGATAATGGTGTTTTGATGATAGGATACTGAGGGATAGCGATGGAGAATGATCTGTAAAAATGGGGACTGAACTGACACACTCTGGGGGCACATCATGACCTATTTGGTGGGATTTAATATGGATTTATGACGAATCAGATGATATTTGGGTGCGTTGGACATGGTGTATATTTACGGCTAGCTTCAGAGTGAAAATAATTAATCACCTGTGGAACTGGGGGTTGATTTTTGCGTGTGTACTTTGAATCTGTTTAGGGATTCTTCATTTAGGGTTTCAGTTTTGAGATCACTGATTTTCGGCTGCAATTTTGGGTGTATTGGATCTGTTATTTTATTTGGATCCCATATTTTGTATGTCGATTCGTTTTTTTCTGGCGGCATTATGATCTACAAACATGGCAAAAAAGTCAACACCCCAGGTTTTGTTTCAAGTCATCTTTTTGTAATTTCACATATTTGTTTGAAACCACAATTTTAGTTAGGTAATTCATGGAACTACATGGCAATATCTTGCCAACTGTTAGTTTCCAGGGCTAAACAACTGGAGTTTTTCCTGTCCATTGGTCCCTTTCCAGGCTCCACAGCCTCAGTGAAGTTCGTCAGAAAGGCAGAAATCAAACTGAACTGATTAGATTTACTTCGCACTGACTGTGGCTGGTTTGATATTCCAGTTGGTGGCTCTAAATTTTATTGAGTTGGAAGATTGGATATGGGTTTGACAGAAAAGGCTAGCCGGCTAGCCCATAATCCAATGGTCAGTCATTCGGGGGGGAAGTACGCAGCCGGACTGTCGCTGTGACAGCTCTGCCAGGCTGCATCCTTGCTGACTCTGCTAGTAAAAGAAAAACATCTCACAGCGGCCGGGTGTGTGGCGCACGTGGAGGGAGTGCTTGGTAGGGCTCTTTGTGCCGAAGAGTCTCGTGTCTTGGTGCTTCCAAGCCCTCGTAGCCTTGGGGCCAACATGGCCAGTGGTTCTGCCGTGCCAGATGACAGCGAGACGCTGGGGGTATATGCGGTCGTGCTTTGCACGCTAAACAGCAAACAGATTGCCCTGGCTTGCGTGGTCCTGCAAATGGGCAGCCTTTTTGTCCCGTTCTTGTCATGGTGGACAGGAAGTGGTGGAATGTTGCGAGCTTCTGCTGGACGGTACTTTCATCATCTTTTCTCTGTGTCGACCCAATACATGTACATAAGAGGTCCTTGGCAGATGGAGGTTTCCTGAAATTGGGGGTACTGGCTTTTCCATTATAAACTATAAACCATCCATTTTGGGGTAGCCCCATTTCAGGAAACCTCCAGATAATTGGGAAGGGGGTGCCTCCCTCAATAGCCGTGTGCCAGAGGCTGCCTTGCTCCGTTGTGACAACGGACTCAGACGGTCGGTGCAGGAAAGAATGAGAGCAGGGGGCCAGCCGGATTATTTTTGCTATCGTGAGGGTTGTGGTTTTGGCAATGATGACCATGATGATGATGATGATGATGATGATGATGATGGTGATGGTGATGATGATGATGATGATGAGGAGGAGGAGGAGGGATGATGATGATGATGATGATGATGAGGAGGAGGAGGAGGACGATGACGATGACGATGACGACCACCATGCGCTACTCCAATCTGGTGCACAAAATGTTCTTGGTTTTGCAAGTGTTTCTTGTTTGGTTTTTAGCGACTCCTTGAAGCATCAGTGAGATCCGAATTTTCGCGGTGGAACTTGAACATCTGCATATTGCTTTCTTGAAAATTGCAGTAGCAGACTTCACACCTTTTTGCCTGTGTGTGCTTTCGCCCTACCCAAGAATGAGCAGCCAGGCTCCCTGAACACGTTGGTGCTGGGTTCAATTAAAGTGAACAACTTTTGCTGCTTCATTCTCACACCGCTGGCCGGGTGTGGGGCGCACGCAGAGGGAGTGCCTGCTGGGGCTCTTGACGAAGAATCCCGTGCTTGGTGCTTCCAAGCACTCTTCCAGGCACTGGTACCCTTGGGGCCAACATGGCCAGTGGTTCTGCCGTGCCAGATGACAGCGAGACGATGAGCTAAAGTGCTCGCTGGGGGTGCATGCGGTCGCTGCTTTGCGTGCTTGGCAGGGGAGGCCAAACAGCAAACAGATTGCCCTGTCTGCTTGCATCGTCCTGCAAATGGACAGCCTTTTCGTCCCGTTCTGGTCATCCTGGGCGAACCTCTGCTGGAAGGTTTTATTCACTAATTACGTTTTATATGTGCTGACCATGAAGCTTGCAGCACACAGCATGAATAGGTATTGGCCAGGTAAACTCCTCGGAAAGCTTATACTATGGTGGTTGTTGTGATGGTAGTGCTGAGGGCGGTGACAGTGATGGTGATGGTTGTGGTGGTGATGATACTCATTAAATTTTATACAGACATGGTTTGTGTATATCTTTAAGCTACCACTACTATTAATGAGTTTTATGGTGATTTTCTGTAGTAGTAGTAGTAGTAGTAGTAGTAGTCGTAGTAGTAGTAGTAGTAGAAGTAGTAGTAGAAGTAGTAGTAGTAGTAGAAGTAGTAGTAGTAGTAGTAGTAGTAGTAGTATTATATAATATATGTAGTATTGATATTGGGATAAGTATTTACTAACATAAACTAGTGCGTTGGCATTAGTATTGTTGTGATGCTACTGCTGCTACTTCATCAGGTCGACAAAACTTTCGCCCTACCCAAGAATGAGCAACCCCGATTTCCTTCCTGAGCGGCGGTCGTTGCCGGCAGGATGGTTCAGCGAAAGTGGACAACTTTTGTTGCTCATTCTCACACCGTTGGCCGGGTGTGGGGCGCACGCGGAGGGAGTGCTTGGTAGGGGTTGGCCTACCGAGTGCTCGTACCCTTGGGGCCAACATGGCCAGTGGTTCTGCCGTGCCAGATGACAGCGAGACGATGAGCTAACGTGCTCGCTGGGGGTGCATGCGGTCGTGCTTTGCGTGCTTGGCAGGGGAGGCCAAACAGCAAACAGATTGCCCTGTCTGCTTGCATCGTCCTGCAAATGGACGGCCTTTTCGTCCCGTTCTGGTCATCCTGGGCGAACCTCTGCTGGAAGGTTTTATTCACTAATTACGTTTTATATGTGCTGACCATGAAGCTTGCAGCACACAGCATGAATAGGTATTGGCCAGGTAAACTCCTCGGAAAGCTTATACTATGGTGGTTGTTGTGATGGTAGTGTTGAGGGCGGTGACAGTGATGGTGATGGTTGTGGTGGTGATGATAATCATTAAATTTTATACAGACATGGTTTGTGTATATCTTTAAGCTACCACTACTATTAATGAGTTTTATGGTGATTTTCTGCAGTAGTAGCATTATATAATATATGTAGTATTGATATTGGGATAAGTATTTACTAACATAAACTAGTGCGTTGGCATTAGTATTGTTGTGATGCTACTGCTGCTACTTCATCAGGTCGACAAAACTTTCGCCCTACCCAAGAATGAGCAACCCCGATTTCCTTCCTGAGCGGCGGTCGTTGCCGGCAGGATGGTTCAGCGAAAGTGGACAACTTTTGTTGCTCATTCTCACACCGTTGGCCGGGTGTGGGGCGCACGCGGAGGGAGTGCTTGGTAGGGGTTGGCCTACCGAGTGCTTGTACCCTTGGGGCCAACATGGCCAGTGGTTCTGCTGTGCCAGATGACAGCGAGACGATGAGCTAACGTGCTCGCTGGGGGTGCATGCGGTCGTGCTTTGCGTGCTTGGCAGGGGAGGCCTCAGGTGGTCACTGAGGTGGCCATACCAAGATTATGACCCATGTTTGCGTATGGGTCAAACTGGGGTACCCCAAGAATTTGATCGTTAACACTAAGGACTAAACATGAGTAAAATCAGTGGCTTGTTGGGTTTAAAAAGATTGACCCATACCCGTGGTGTTGTGTTGCCAACTGCTATACATTATAGGACACTGGGTTCGCATACTCTTGGATCCAGTCTAGATCTCAGCCAATCATTGGTTCCGCCGAACACGGCGCAGGCGTGCGGACCAGGGTGTTGGAGGTATCCCTAAATCATCCGTTTGGGATTTTCATCGATTGTCCAGTATTTTCCATTACAAAGCATATAAAGCATCCATTTTGGGGTACCCATCCACTTATAGAAACCCACAGTCACGCAAGATTTCAGAAGATTTTGAGAACCAGCCTTGGTGGATGGCGGTAAGCTTTTACTCCCAAGTATGGTGGAGTGAGCTAGACTCCAGCAAGACTCCCTTTTACATCCTCTGTTCAGTTTCAAATAATCTACCCTCTGGTAAACTGACATAGCTATGGAAAATGGATGATTTATAGTTGATTTACCCATAAAATACGGTGATTTTCCATGTTCTTATGACATGTCAGTAGGCATGTGTTGCTTGGGACTTTGCTTGATTGAAGATCAGGCCGTTATTCACTGCAGTTTGAGGCTCAAAACCCCCAGTGTTGGCTGGGGGTAGGTTGGCTTTGGCCAGTTGTTGCTGGTGAAAGGTGTCAACATGGACCTCAAAGCGTTGCTCCGCAGAGCCCACATGTTCTCTTTGGAGGACTTCAAGACGCTGTGGGCCTCTGTGAGGGAGCTAGTGGTTATAGAGACCCTTGATGATAAGGGTAAACCACAGGGAGAAGCCCTTGTCCGAATGGACCAGCTTTACCAAGCTGACGCAGACGGTGCCTTTGCTAAGGTAAGCTATGTGGCCTGCAGTGATGAGTACTACCAGTGGTGGGTGGACCACGATATGGGCACCAATACCTTCCACCATTTTTGCAGGCATGACACGCTCAAGGGCTGCATGGCCAAGACAGGGCGTGAAGGGATTGTCCATGTGCTTCAGTGGACTCCCGTCACTCGGCCTGAAGCTGAGACCGTTCTGCGCGAGTGGGACTACTCACCCAGCTTGCTCGGGAGGACCCCGAGGTCGTTGCCTGCGCCGCTTCCTGATCGAAGAGTTGTGAGTGAGTCGGCTTCCAAGTCATTGCCCTTGAGACCGCCACCAGGGCTGGAGAAAGCGAGAACTCCGGCTCTCAGGAATCTGGAAACTCGACCGGGGCCTGATCAAGATGAAGAACATGAGGAGGAAGAGGAAGCACATGACCTACGAGTGAAGAAGAGTGGTAGGGCCAGGCCTGTTTCGCCACCACCGCCTCCTCCAAGGAAGCAACGCCCTCAGGATTCAGGAGGAGCTGCACTTGACAAGATGTTGGATGAAGATCCTCATGATGCTGACAGTGACAAGTTGCGTGGGGATGCCCATGAACGCCTGGCCACACTGCGGGAGGACCTGCAGAGGCGCAAAGCGGCTAGAGGCAAGTCTGACCCAGGAGCCGTGCTTGCAACTCGTGCAGCTGCAGTGGCCGAGACCGCTGGGAAGAAAAGGAAGTCATCTCAGGGCGACAAGATGATCTCTGCACTCACCAAGGCCCTCAGGAAGAAGACCGTGAAGGAGGAGATTGATTATGGTGATGAGGCTCGCCACTCAGGTTCTTCCGATGGATCAGATTCTGAGGAAGATGAGAAACGCCTCCTAGGTGGTAGCCTAGGATCAGGCTCGGCCGTGGCCAAGCAACGTAAACTAAGGCAGCTGAGTGAGAAGAAACCAGGACGGCTTCTACAGACAGGGTACGCATCGATGCATGAGCAGGTGGGCACGTACTTTGGCAACGATGAGGCCAACAAGGATGTGCTCACCCCGGTGGCGCTCAGGTATCTCCTGAGTTATGCCTTGCCGCAGTTCCGCAATGGAGTCAGCCACGACAAGTACCGGGAACTCAGAACTCTTGCGACATGCCTGGATCACCTCGTGGCTGGTCAAACAGGACAGGCGGGAGATTTCCTCTTGCAGAGATACAAGGCACTGTTGATGACTCAACGAGATGGGAGCGATGCTGCAAGCAGGTTCATCGAGCTCTTGCCGGAAGAAGACATGCCCACTATGGCCAGCTCTAGTGAGTCCTACTTGGCGAGGAGCCTCGCGGTGCACCAGGCGAAGTCGGATGAGTTGTTGAGGAGGGCCTCAACCTAGGGACTCGGAGGGGGGGGAAGAGCAGGGCAACTTCCTCCCCTCAACTCCACCTGCAGTCAACCGAGAAACAATCCCTGACAGTGAAAAGGAGCCCAACTCCGATGAGAGAAAAAAGTGGCAGCCGAAGCCCACGTCGAGATGTACGAGATGGGAGCCTGACCAGACCAGACGTGAGGGATCGAAGGGTCTCCTTCGAAGACGAGAGGGGGAGACCCCTGGCCCATCAGATCCCGGCGGCCTCAACTGGGAGATTCAAAGCACTGAGAAATTCAGTCCCGCGCCGGGATGGGGAAAGTCGGAGCCACTGGAAAAGCAGAATGATGACACAGCTGGCACAGGAGGGGCCAGCCAAGGAAAGGTAGATGTTTTTCTCTCGCAGTCAGCTTCAATGTTGGCTGCAGAGGTCAACGAGGGTTGGCCTACCGTTTGCCCAGTGCTTGCTGGGGCCCCGGTGCCTGTAAGTCCACGTGAGTGGGAGAAGGGTCATGGCAGAGGCCGTGTGGCCAGCTCTTGCTCGGTGCATGCCGAACGTACAGGTGGTAAGGCAGATGTTGTGGCCCAGGAGAAGCCTCTTTCGCCGGCTGCTAAGGGGGGCTGGATGAAACAATCCAGTGCGATGCCCTTGGACGCGAGCGGTAGTGGAGGTGAGTTTTTGGGATGCGAGCCTAAAGGGACCCCAAGTGTTTCTGAGTCTTTTGCAACAATTTTTCAAATTAATAAATTAAGGTCACTCTCCTTTGAAGCTTTGTGCAGAGCTGTTGATGAACTCCCTAAGAACAGTTTGCAAGTGGGAATCTCACTGGCTCAGCTCCTGCTAGCTCATCCGCGAGACGGAGACCACGTGATGGCCTTTTTGCGCCAGACAGAGAAAAGTTTTGCTGACACGCCGACCCGAAGGGATTTGCTACCCTTCCAATTTTGTCCTGCAGTAGGAGCAGCCATCAAGGTGATTTCCCTTTTTCCCGTCACACCATTGGGTCTTGTAAATGTTGATGTTGCGGTTGTAAAGAAAATGCCAAGACAACAAGCACGTAAGCTGTGCCTTGAAGGGATGGTTCAGTTGTGGCGTTGGTTGGTGGTGACCGTTCTTAATGGGGAATACTTAGATTGGTGTGGGGCCCCAACTTTGTTGCCTGCTAAACCCTCCTTAGCTCAACTTGCTGCCCTTGAGATGATTGGGGAACATGTACGGGATTTCTGTGGTAGCCCACTTGAGTCTTGGAACCTTCCCAATTTCAGGCAGTTAATGCAATCAAAAAGTCTTGATTACTCGGGGGATGAGGTCACCCATGCACTTCCCTTGCGCCTGGAGGAGTTGCAGCCAGGGCTTCCTGATGCAGCTGTTGGTGGCAGCCTGGATGCTTTCAGGACGGCTGACAATGAGGTGCAGGCGTGGCTGGGGAACCCAGAAAAAACCCTTAAACCACGTGAGATGTGGCCATCAAAGGTCCCAACTGCGAAGATAAATGCAACCAAATCTGAGTGGTATCGCGTTGTGAAAGAACTGCATCAGCGGAATATCCTGGCAGTGATCCCGAAGGAGGAGATGTTTTCAGTGGATGGTGTCATGGTTTTGAACGGTGCTTTTGCCGTTTCTAAAAGTGGGGTTGCTGCTCCAGGTGAAGTTCGGATCACACGTTTTATCATGAACATGACACCTTCAAATGCCTATCAAGTTTTGATGAGAGGGGACCTCCTTACCTTGAGTAGTGCCTCAAATTGGGCGTCAATTGTGCTGCCTCAGGACCACTGTCTCCTCTGGTCATCCGACGATCAGAAGGGAGCCTTCTACGCTTGGAAGTTGCCTCCAGCTTGGCGTGGCCTGATGACGTTCAGGTGGCCGGTGCCAGGGTCACTGCTGGGGTATCCCAGTGAGTGGGTGTATGTCTGTTCAAAAGTTATACCCATGGGATGGTTAAATGCGGTAAGCCTATTTCAGCACCTCCATAGGCAACTGGGGCTTCAACCACCCCCTGCAGGAGCAGGGTTCCAGGAATGGCAGGAGTGGCGACGTGACAGGGCCGTGCCCCAAGACTCACAGCACCAGGTCACTCACTGGATTCAGTAATTATCTTGATGATTTCGATGCCCCTGAAATTGTTCACACTGCTGACATTGCCTCCTTGCAAGGGACTGTTTCCGAGTTGCAGCGCCGACAGAGGGCGGCTTATGATGTCAATGGGGTGGCCATTTCCCTGAAGAAATCTCAAAGCAGGGAAACAAAAGTCGTGCGTATGGGGGCTGAGATTGATGGAGTGAAAGGTCTGCTGTCTGCTCCCTTGACAAAAAGACGAGAGGTAATCGGGTTTGCTTTGTGGCTCTTTGGACAGCGTTTGCCCCTGGCGAAGGGCGCTCTGATGGTGTTGGGCAGAATGGTGCGCTGCTTTGAGTTCAGGCGCCCCCTCATGAGTGCCCTGAGGGACTGCTGGCCGACTGTGCCGCCACATGTTAGGATGCCGCTAAAGAGGGAGACGATCCGTTCTTTGATCAGAGGCTGCATCCTTATGCCCATGGCAGTTGCCAACTTGAGGTCTCAGGTAGATGGGCTGGTGAGCGCCAGCGATGCATCAGAAACAGGAGGTGGTTTGTGTGTTTCTCATGAGTTAACCGATGAAGGACGTGCCACCTTAGAGACCCTCCAGAGTGGCGCGTACGCTGAGTCAAGGATGAGCCCTTTCCACGCGGCAGGTGAGATGCCTGTAAAGGACCCAAAAGGTCCGAAAGTGTTTGTGCTTTCGCTTTTTGATGGAGTGGCAGCAGTCATGTGCGCTTTGACAAGGCTTCCTTGCCAGGTCGTGGGCTTTGCCGCGTCTGAAATTGACCGTGAATGCAAGCGGCTAGTGAGAAAACGCTGGCCTGGCGTTATCGAACTTGGCAAGGTTGAGGACATCACGGACACGGTGATCACGTCCTTGGTGAACTCGCTGGGTTTTAAGATTGATATCTTGCTCATCTCTGCGGGGAGTCCCTGTCAAGATCTCACAGCGTTGCTAGCTAACCGAAAGGGCCTGGAGGGGAACAGATCGAAGCTGTTCTTTCATATCCCACGCATCCATGGACTCTGCAAACGCCGTTTTACGGGCCGCACAGCCCTGCTGGTGGAGAATGTGTACTCGATGACAGCGGAGGCACGAGATCAGTTTACGGAAGTTTTGGGAGTGAGACCCATCCTGATATTGGCAAGCGATTTCTCTTGGGTAAAAAGACCACGTTTGTATTGGGTTGACTGGGACATTGACCCTCAGGCAGATGAGAAGCTGATTGACGAAGGAACTTTCCTGCGCTGGAAGTTTCCAGATGTTAGGCAGGAGCATGGCCACTGGGTTGACCCAGGTTGGGAGCATCTTGGGCAGGAGTGCCTCCCCACCTTCACTAGAGCGCTGCCACGTGCAACAGCGCCGTTGCAGCCAGCGGGCATCGCCACCGCGAGTCATGAAGCTTGACAACGTTGGACACAGGACCGGTTTCAGTTCCAGGTGTACCAATATGAAAACCCCCATTTACTTTGGATGGGATCTTGTTGGCGTTTACCTAGCCTGGTGGAAAGGGAACGTTTGATGGGTTTTGATGAAGGGTATGTTTCAAATTGTTTGCCCTCTAAAATGTCTGACTTGAGCCAAAATGGCTACGCTGAAAAGTTTCGGGTAGGTTGTGGCATGATTGGTAACACCTTCCACGTGCACGCCGTAGGGGTCTTGTGTCATGCTTTGATTAAAAGTCTTTTCGCTTGCACTGAACCTAGAAACATAGCTATGATGGTTAGAAGTGTTGGCACTGCTCCTGCTGGATGGACTGAAGTACCGAAGTTTGTTAAGACCACACAACCAGACCCCCAATGTGCCCTTCTTGTCCATGAAATCCTGCGGCAGGGGGATAGGGCTGGCACGGATATTCGTTTGGATGTTGGCATACCTTTTCGGTTCAAGGCATTTCCCCGAGCGGGACTCCGCACCAGCTATTTCGGCTGGCGTATAGTTCACGGCTATAAGTGGAAGCATACTAGCCACATAAACGCCCTGGAATTGCAAGGGGTCGTAAGTAGTCTGCAGTGGAGGCTGCGTAGGCTAGCCAACTACAGGAAAAGGGTGTTGCACCTGGTCGATTCCCAGGTGGTGGCCAGCGTCCTAGCCAAAGGACGAACGTCCTCCTTTCGTCTTAGGAAAAGTCTCCAAAAACTGAACTGCCTCCTAGTGACAGCTGGGATTCGACTCTCTATTGGATACTGCCACACCTCAGAAAACCCTGCAGACATACCATCGCGATGGTCAGGAACCAAGAAAACCGCCTGCAAAGGCAGCACAAAAGAAGGGGCCTGAACCTGCGGGAGTCGCTCGTAACGCCCCAGCTGCTGAAGCGATACCAGTTTGCCCTGATCCACGTCACCCAGTTCTTTGCTGATTGTGCAATGGCTGTTTCAGCCATGGAAGACCTGGATGAGGCAGTGTGCAGTTGGATCGAACACATTTTCTTTGAAGGCGAGTCTAAGAGCTTGGCAAGTGATGGCTTGGCCAGCATCCAGTACCATCTCCCACCAGCTGTGGGGAACCTCCGTATGAGCTGGAAGTTGGCAAAAGCATGGCAGAAGATTGAGCCACCGGAAAGAGTGGTACCTATTAGCCCTTTGCTCACCCGTGCTTTTGCAGGGGCATGTATCATAGCAGGGAAAGTGTCCGAAGCTGCTTGCATCTTAACGGCGTTTGACGCGCTGCTCCGGCCGGGTGAGATCTATCTGCTCAAGGTTAAGGACATATCCTTTTACTCGCAAAATGCTGTCATCACTTTGCGGGACACAAAAACAGGAAAACGAAAGAGTTCAGCTGAAATGGTGGTGGTGGAAAGCCGCCTGGCCCTGAAGTTCCTCAGACGTGCCTGCCAAAATCGGGCGCCCAACAGCCCTCTTTTGGTTGACGGTGCACCATCATTCCGCCAATTGTTCAAGAATCTGGTTGCCCATTTCCAACTTACAGGCCTCTTTGCAGTGTATTCTCTCAGACGGGGAGGAGCTACCCATGCCTTTTTGATGCATGGCAGCATGGAAAAGACGCTCCTACGAGGGCGTTGGTCTAGCACGTCCACAGCCCGAATCTACATACAAGACACAATCGCTACAGTTTCTCAACTGAAACTAACACCAACCCAACGCATGCATGCTAGGTTGGCCGCTCAAGCTTTGGATCCATGATGACACCCGGCTTTGCCAGAGTGGAGACCGTGGAAGGGGTCTCTTGTTGCGCAGTGAATGGCTGCTGGTTCCAACCTTTCTTTGTTTGACCAGCGATCGCTGGGGCAGCTATCCATGGACCATGGATGTACCAGTACTTTGCTGGTGTTGCCGTGGAACTTTGAATGGTGGGTTGGATACCAGTGAACCTGCAGTATATGCCAAATGGCATTCTGAGACAATTCTGGCGTGATCAGAAAAAAGACTGGCAAGGAGCGGCTGACACATGTTCTTATGACATGTCAGTAGGCATGTGTTGCTTGGGACTTTGCTTGATTGAAGATCAGGCCGTTATTCACTGCAGTTTGAGGCTCCCACCCAACCCTCCGCGGATTAAGTTCCGGCGGGGCGGAAGGGGTCTCTTGTTGCGCAGTGAATGGCTGCTGGTTCCAACCTTTCTTTGTTTGACCAGCGATCGCTGGGGCAGCTATCCATGGACCATGGATGTACCAGTACTTTGCTGGTGTTGCCGTGGAACTTTGAATGGTGGGTTGGATACCAGTGAACCTGCAGTATATGCCAAATGGCATTCTGAGACAATTCTGGCGTGATCAGAAAAAAGACTGGCAAGGAGCGGCTGACACATAGTTATGTTAGTTTACCAGAAGGTATCGTTTATATTTGAGAGATGTGTTTTAAATCAGTTGACGGTATTTTGTTGTTGGAATTTGAATGGATGTGACACGTGTTTCATTGTTGGCTTTGCCCAAGAATGGGGGATACCCCTACTGTTGCTATTCGCTCATGAAAAACACTTTCTCATCCGAGAGACAGATTTTGACCCCAACATTTTTCAGACCAGCCCGTGTCTAGCTCATTTCATCTTATTTCTATACCCATCGATACCCAGTTGCAAATCGGCTGTGGGCTGCAAGCCCCAAAACAAGATGCCAGAAAGTGTGCCACCTCCAATTTTCAGGTTTCCAAGGTATTTTGAGCATCTTGTTGGAGATTGCTATGAGGGGAATCAATTATATCATTTTTCAATAAATCATTATTGATCCACTTACAGAACAATTTTCCTTGCAACTCAAATATAGAATCATACCCAGAAACCAGTATGTTACAGTAACACACGGTGATTTTTCCAGTTATGTTGCGTTAGATTCACCCAGAAAACATCCGTTACATGATCCGTTGAAGGTGTCCTAAAATGGACCCCCCAACTCCAAGTCGTGCACCGAGTCCGTGGCGGAGGCATTTTCCTGCCACGGGCTGCAACAGTACGAAGCCTGCCGAGGCAGGCGATAGAAGCCTCTGCAGCTTGAGTAATGAGGATTTACCCCAAGAAAAATGGTGAGACAGAGAAAACCATAAACAAATGTGTTTAAAACACCCAAGAACAATGTGATTTAGCCAATAAAAAATGAGGATTTGCTCATGGAAAAAGAAGGATTTGGCATTAAACAAAGGTCGATTTCACCATCAGAAACTGGTGATTTTGAATTTTTTCGATTCAACATGATTTTTTTCCATCAAAAATTGTGATGTTTTACAGATAAAAAACCCAATGATACAACTGGATATAACTGGATATAACTGGGTAAACTATGGGATTCTAGGGGATGAACACCATCCCCTTCCATCCCCTGAACCATCCCCTTAAAAAGACGACTGGTTGATGTAAAAAATGGGCCATTCAAAAATGGACGACTTCTTAGCCCCCTTAAATGGTGAGCAAAATTTTGACGACATAAATTCTGGGATGAACTATGACTATGACCTAGGGATACCTAGGGATTCAACGAGACAATTGATGATAAAACGGGGAAAATCGCCACAACCAAGTCCCATTTGGGGACAAAATCCAACCCATTGATGTTAAGTCATAGGGGCTGGTTTATAGATTGTCCTCTAAAAACACACACGTTTAACGATTGATGAATCAAACCGCAATGACTGCATGCTTCTCACAAATTTCATTACAACATCAATTGCATCATGCTGCACACGCCAATGACTTCTTGCAGATCTGTCCCAAAAACTGTGACTTTCGATGTTTTGCAAAGTTTGACCAACTCGTTGGCTGCGCATTGTTTTGGCACCCAATGGGTCCAACTCGCCGTCGCGACTACAATGGATGTTGCCAGGGAAAAGAGTCGAACACTGCAGGGATGGGCAGAGCGCTGTTCATCATCGACAATCCAGGAACCACGGCAATTCGGATGGGGTCTGAGAGTTTTTTTAGCGAAGCCAGCCCAGTTTTTGTTGCAAAGGATAACCAGGGATAGTCAATATTGTTTTCCAGATTTGGAATAATTTTTTGCAACGTGATTTTTTTGGGCTTGAAGTTTCATCAGCTTATTATATTATTAGTGAGACTATTATATATCAACATCGTTTCCAGTCGCCAGTTCGGCATTTTCGAACTCGGCAAATCGTGCTATCTCAAAGTCGTGGGTCCAGGAAAACTCCTGGACTTCTACGATCTTGACAAGAAGAAACTGGGTGAGGGGTCGTCAGCTTAATGGCCTGCTGAATATTCGCTTGGTGGTTTCAAAGAACATATGGGGCTTTCCTGAAATGGGGGTACGGAGTACCCCAATAGCTGGATGGTTTACTTCATGGAACGTCCGAAAATATTTAGGGGTACTGGTTCATATATTTAAGGACTAAGTCATAGTACCATATGTACCATTCATGGATGATTTAGTAGCCCTATGACTTAGGCCTCCAAATGTGTTTTGAACAAGACCACGATGGTCCCGGAAGCCCCAAAAAACAATCGCCGCACCTCGTGGCCTCGTTCTTCACCGGTGATGTCATGGGTTTTTTTGAGGTCCTATGGCTATGTCTGCAAGGGCAAGAACAAGGCCACAAATGCCATCCGAGCAGTGAAAACAATTGCCAAGGCAAGGGCTGATAGGGCTGCAGGGAGACAGGTTTTAGTTGGAGATTCCGTGAATTATGGACTCTTTTGCATTCAAGTACTATCCCAAGGATACACAAAAACAACACAATGTATCCAAATGTTTGCTCCTGAACTGGTGGTGTATTGGAGATCACTCCAAGTCTCATCCCAGGATACAATTCTTGTGTGAACAGGTGTTGAATGGGACATCATGGGACCACACGCTGACCACACGCCATTCTGTGAGGGCAAGATGAAAAACATTGAGCGCTTCAAGCAAGAAATCGCCATTATGAAGATGATGGACTGACAGGGCTGGACAGCTGGAGATACTGCAGGTGACCGTTGACCCTTCAGAACTCAACGGGGAATGACCACACCCTTTGGTAATCAAACATGGCAACAGAACATCCCCCGTTTATAGATGATTTTCCCATTAACACCTCCGTTTACAGGAGATTTTCAGTTGCCATGTTTGATCACCAGAGGGTAAGCATATATTCGTTCTGTTTTTCTTATGCGGGGAGTTTTATTGCGCAAAAAACATGTGTGACTGCTTGATGTCTTGCTAGAACTTTGATCTTTGACCAAATCATCGTCCGTGAGGACCATCCGAACATCATCAAGCTGTATGAAAGCTTTGAGGATTTGAGGCGTGGCGATTGAAAAAGTGTCCTGGAACAGAACTTTGAAAAAACCAAACCGACCAAGTTTCTTGGATCAAGGCAACAAAAAGCTGCTGCTGGTGAAGCGGCAATTACCCTCTGGTATTTAACATAGCTATGGAAAATCACCATTTTTAATGGGAAAATCCACTATAAATTGCCATTTTCAATAGCTTTTTGTATGTTTACCAGAGGGTAAGTGTTCGGGATTTTCAGAGTTACATTTGTATACATTTGTTACGACTGAATGAAGTACTATTGGCCTACTGGCTTGGAAGGATTTGGAAGCAGAGGATCTGCTTCGGTGTGGTCCTTTCCGAATCTGCAGTTTGTGGCTGCCACGTGCCATGTGCATCCAACACATGCCCTTGGTTATGAGGGCAGTCAATTCTTCATGGGGTAGTGAATGGGCCACTATACCTGAAGTATGCCCACCTTGATCTTCCCCCTCTAATTTCCAATGGAAAAATCATGTCATTGATTTGAATGAGGGCGAATCATTCAAAAGAAGCGTCCTTGATTTGGAATTCACCATAGCCCATTTCTAGTTCACTGATATCTTGAAAACTGGGTGCATCACTGGTTCCAAGATGTGGCGTGTACTTTGTGCTGAGACACCGCACTGCTTGAAACAACTTCTCAATCGTAGCTGACAGAAGATATTCTGCTGCCGTAAGTAAGTTTTTCAATCTTTGCAGATTCCTCTTCCACCTCATGGTTCATTATTATTTTCTCCATGCTTTCAAATTCCAGAACTTGTTCATGGTAACATCATTTTCTCCAAGAAATTGGATCCAAATTTTGGACTTTCCAAGCCATTTTTTTGACCGAGCCAAATTGGAATGTCGATAGATTTCCCATGACTTCCCAAAAACATTCCAGGACGTCCCCCACTGAAAACACGACTAGACATAAACTGGGGATTCTCCCCTGTTTTACTCCAATTTCAAAGCACATGAAACATTTTGGGTTTTAAGATGTTGTAAGGATTTTCCCGAAAACCATGTGATCTTGAAATCATCATGATATATCATGATATCTGAAATCCATTGAAATCCCCCAAAGCATATCCCGGCGAAAATCCTCCTGATATCTTCATGATTCAGCCATATTCAGCCCAATAATCCCATGACTATCCAGTGGTAGGGAGGCAAAGAACTATGGCTATCCATCTTCCCGACAATTGGGGAGCCAGTTGGAGCTATGCATAGTGATTTCCAACCAGATAGATGAACATCCGACAGAAATCCCGGGTCATGTCATTGAACATAGCCATGGGAAATGGCCCATAGAAATAAAGCTTTACCGTTCTTAGTAGCATGGTGATTTTCCATGGCTATGTTAAATAACCAGATGGTATCTTTTCCAACTTTTAGGGGATTTCCCACAATAATCCCGTTCCGCCCATTCAGACGCTCTGCAAAAGACGTGGTTCGATGATTCAGTTCCAGTTTCCTAGAATAAGGGCTACCCCGAAATCATCCTAAATTAGACCGTTCTAGCATTGACAGCTTTGGTTTTGGGGAACCCCCATTTTGAGAAACCCCTATATTATATATTAAATTATTATATATATATATTGATATTCTTCTTAATTGTTGATTATTATTATTAATAATGATAACTATTATTTATTGCCGTTATTATTATGTATTCTATATATTCAATTATCATTATTGCTATTATTATTGTTACTACTATTGTTATTATTATTATTGCTGGTTGGTGGTTTCAAACATTTTTTATTTTCCATTTCATATATGGGATGTCATCCTTCCCATTGACGAACTCCATGATTTTTCAAGATGGGCACATTGCACCACCAACCAGATTGTAGATGTTTACCAACAAACTCACGGCCGGTGAAAAACTAACCGGTGATTTCCCATGTGTTGAGGCCTTGATGTCCCATGGCAGGAACATCTACCTGGTCATGGAGCTTTGCTCAGGGGGTGAGCTCTTCGACCGCATCATCGATGCTGGCAGCTTCACAGAGGTGGGCTATATGATTCTGGTTGGTTGGTTGGTTGGTTGGTTGGTTGGTTGGTTGGTTTGGAACATTTTTTATTTTCTATAATATATGGGATGTCATCCTTCCCATTGACGAGCTCATATTTTTCAGAGGGGTAGGTCAACCACCAACCAGGATTGGTTGGTTTACATGGGAAAATCCATCGAAAAAAAGGCGGTTGGTTGGTTTATTTCATGGAAAATCCGAAGAAGATGGATGTTTTTTTCGGGTTACCCCCATGAAATACCGAATGGCTCCATACAATGGGGATATCATAGGGATATACTGGGGGTAAAGTGGGAAAACCATGGAACAACCAACTTGATATGAGGGGTGAGATTTTTTGTGTGCCTGAAAATGAGACTGACCGCCTCATTTTATGGTGGTTTCAATCTGGAAAATGATGATTCACCAGTGAATGGAATCGGCTTTTCTGCACATTTTTTGGATCCACACAACCACATCGCACCCCAGCAATGCGGCCGGTAAGATGATATTCCGTCATAGGAGGTCCATTTTTCGTCCGAAGATGTTTGGAACCACCATTTGCAGCGATTTGCAACCTCAGATTGGCTTCATTTGTGTCCAGAAATACAATCATATATATCGACGGACTGAAACTTAGAATGCGCATTTGGAAATTTCACTCCACACGTGCAAAACTGAAAAATTGCATTTTACCAGCATTTCGGAACTTAGAATGCGTCCCCCCACCTAGGATGAAGCTATTCGGCAATCAACAGTTAGAATGCCTCCAAGGGCATATGTTTTTTTCCAGGCAGAAACACATATATATCCTAGACCCTCCAAGCCACCATAAAAAAGGTAGTTTACCACATAATTTTCATAGTTTTAGCAATTTTTCAGGGTATTTGGAGGCTCTGGGTATATGAATGTACCTGTTTGAGAATATCACCTTATTTTTTGTGCACTTTGCAGGTCTGGGTACTTTTACTCGCTTTCCCCATTCGATAACCTTGACAAAAGTGAGTTTCCCGTACAAAAATTGCGATTTTGGACACATACCTGGGGTAGATAGGCTTCTGGAAAAAGAGGACACACCCAGCCACTAATGGTGTTGAACAGACAGTTAGAATGTGGCTTTAGTAAAGGATCCCCATCATTGATAAATACCTTTGTTTTATCTCCTAGATGGGCCGCTAGCTGGGATGCCTGTAGCTGTCACTGATTGGAAAAGATGTTTATATGTTTTTTAAATGACAAAACTGGAAAATTGCATTTTACCAGCATTTCAGAACTTTGAATGCCTCCCCCCAACCTAGGATGAAGCTATTCGGCAATCAGCAGTTAGAATGCCTCCAAGGGTATATTTTTTCCAGGCAGAAACACATATATATCCTAGACCCTCCAAGTCATCATAAAAAAAGGTAGTTTACCACATAATTTTCATAGTTGTAGAATTTTTTCATGGTATTTGGAGGTTCTGATTCTGGGTATATGAATGTACCTGTTTGAGAATATCACATTATTTTTTGTGCATTTTGCAGGTCTGGGTACTTTTACTCGCTTTCCCCATTCGATAACCTTGACAAAAGCGAGTTTCCGGTACAAAAATTTTGATTTTGGACACATACCTGAGGTAGATGGGCTTCTGGGAAAAGAGGACACACCCAGCCACCAGTGGTGTTGAACAGACAGTTAGAATGTGGCTTTAGTAAAGGATCCCCATCATTGATAAATACGTTTGTTTTCTCCTAGATGGGCCGCTAGCTGGAATGCCTGTAACTGTCACTGATTGGAAAAGATGTTTATATGTTTTTTTTAACGGCAAAACTGGAAAATTGCATTTTACCAGCATTTCAGAACTTTGAATGCCTCCCCCCCACCTAGGATGAAGCTATTCGGCAATCAACAGTTAGAATGCCTCCATTGGATTCCAAGGGTATATTTTTTTCAGGCAGAAGCACATATATATCCTAGACCTTCCAAGTCACCATAAAAAAAGTAGTTCACCACATAATTTTCATAGTCTTAGCAATTTTTCAGGGTTTTGGAGGTTCTGGGTATAAGAATGTACCTGTTTGAGAATATCACATTATTTTTTGTGCACTTTGCAGGTCTGGGTACTTTTACTCGCTTTCCCCATTCGATAACCTTGACAAAAGTGAGTTTCGGGTACACAAATTGCGATTTTGGAGACATACCTGAGGTAGATAGGCTTCTGGGAAAAGAGGACACACCCAGCCAATAATGGTGTTGAACAGACAGTTAGAATGTGGCTTTAGTAAAGGATCCCCATCATTGATAAATACCTTTGTTTTATCTCCTGGATGGGCCGCTAGCCGGAATGCCTGTAACTGTCACTGATTGGAAAAGTTTTTTTTTTAAACGGCAAAACTGGAAAATTGCATTTTACCAGCATTTCAGAACTTTGAATGCCTCCCCCCCACCTAGGATGAAGCTATTCGGCAATCAACAGTTAGAATGCCTCCATTGGATTCCAAGGGTATTTTTCTCCAGGCAGAAACACATATATATCCTAGACCCTCCAAGTCACCATAAAAAAGGTAGTTTACCACATAATGTTCATAGTTCGAGCAATTGTTCAGGGTATTTGGAGGTTCTGGGTATGAGAATGTACCTGTTTGAGAATATCACATTATTTTTTGTGCACTTTGCAGGTCTGGGTAAAGATTCTATGAAAAGTCGCAATGAACCAACAGGCAGCCCAAAGGCACTTTTACTCGCTTTCCCCATTCGATAACCTTGACAAAAGTGAGTTTCGGGTACAAAAATTGCGGTTTTGGACACATACCTGAGGTAGATAGGCTTCTGAGAAAAGAGGACACGCCCAGCCACTAATGGTGTTGAACAGACAGTTAGAATGTAGCTTTAGTAAAGGATCCCCATCATTGATAAATACCTTTGTTTTATCTCCTAGATGGGCCGCTAGCCGGAATGCCTGTAACTGTCACTGATTGGAAAAGATGTTTTTTTTTTAACGGCAAAACTGGAAAATTGCATTTTACCAGCATTTCAGAACTTTGAATGCCTCCCCCCCACCTAGGATGAAGCTATTCGGCAATCAGCAGTTAGAATGCCTCCAAGGGCATATTTTTTCCAGGCAGACACGCATATATATCCTAGACCCTCCAAGTCACCATTAAAAAAGTAGTTCACCACATAAATTTCATAGTTTTAGCATTTTTTCAGGGTATTTGGAGGTTGTGGGTATATGAATGTACCTGTTTGAGAATATCACCTTATTTTTTGTGCACTTTGCAGGTCTGGGTACTCTTACTCGCTTTCCCCATTCGATAACCTTGACAAAAGTGAGTTTCGGGTACAAAAATTGCGATTTTGGACATTGCGATTTTGGACACATACCTGAGGTAGATAGGCTTCTGGGAAAAGAGGACACACCCAGCCACTAATGGTGTTGAACAGACAGTTAGAATGCGGCTTTAGTAAACGATCCCCATCATTGATAAATACCTTTGTTTTATCTTCCTGATGGGCCGCTAGCTGGAATGCCTGTAACTGTCACTGATTGGAAAAGATGTTTATATGTTTTTTTTAAACGGCAAAACTGGAAAATTGCATTTTACCAGCATTTCAGAACTTTGAATACTTTGAATGCCTCCCCCCCACCTAGGATGAAGCTATTCGGCAATCAGCAGTTAGAATGCCTCCAAGGGCATATTTTTTCCAGGCAGAAACGCATATATATCCTAGACCCTCCAAGTCACCATAAAAAAAGTAGTTCACCACATAATTTTCATAGTTTTAGCATTTTTTCAGGGTATTTGGAGGTTGTGGGTATATGAATGTACCTGTTTGAGAATATGACCTTATTTTTTGTGCACTTTGCAGGTCTGGGTACTTTTACTCGCTGTCCCCATTCGATAACCTTGACAAAAGTGAGTTTCGGGTACAAAAATTGCGATTTTGGACACATACCTGAGGTAGACAGGCTTCTGGGAAAAGAGGACACACCCAGCCACTAATGGTGTTGAACAGACAGTTAGAATGCGGCTTTAGTAAAGCATCCCCATCATTGATAAATACCTTTGTTTTATCTCCTAGATGGGCCGCTAGCTGGAATGCCTGTAACTGTCACTGATTGGAAAAGATGTTTATATGTTTTTGTTTAAACGGCAAAACTGGAAAATTGCATTTTACCAGCATTTCAGAACTTTGAATGCCTCCCCCCCACCTAGGATGAAGCTATCCGGCAATCAGCAGTTAGAATGCCTCCAAGGGCATATTCTTTTCCAGGCAGAAACGCATATATATCCTAGACCCTCCAAGTCACCATAAAAAAGGTAGTTTACCACATAATTTTCATAGTTTTAGCATTTTTTCAGGGTATTTGGAGGTTGTGGGTATATGAATGTACCTGTTTGAGAATATCACCTTATTTTTTGTGCACTTTGCAGGTCTGGGTACTTTTACTCGCTTTCCCCATTCGATAACCTTGACAAAAGTGAGTTTCGGGTACAAAAATTGCGATTTTGGACACATACCTGAGGTAGATAGGCTTCTGGGAAAAGAGGACACACCCAGCCACTAATGGTGTTGAACAGGCAGTTAGAATGTGGCTTTAGTAAAGGATCCCCATCATTGATAAATACCTTTGTTTTATCTCCTAGATGGGCCGCTAGCTGGAATGCCTGTAACTGTCACTGATTGGAAAAGATGTTTATATGTTTTTTTTAAACGGCAAAACTGGAAAATTGCACTTTACCAGCATTTCAGAACTTTGAATGCCTCCCCCCCACCTAGGATGAAGCTATCCGGCAATCAGCAGTTAGAATGCCTCCAAGGGCATATTTTTTTCCAGGCAGAAACGCATATATATCCTAGACCCTCCAAGTCACCATAAAAAAGGTAGTTTACCACATAATTTTCATAGTTTTAGCAATTTTTTGTGGGTATTTGGAGGTTCTGGGTATATGAATGTACCTGTTTGAGAATATATATATATAATATACTTGGTTGTGCAGACAATTGTACCCCACAACCCATGCGTTCCCTCAGCGTTCCTTGGTGTTTTTCTGGAAACATAGACAATTGGTATGTATATATATATATATATATAGAAAGTTTTTTTGAAAACATGATGCAAACCCACCCATCCATGCTAGAATATGCTAGTGCCGGACCATGTACCTTGCACCCAATGAGGTTCCCTGAGGCCACGTTTTTTTTTAAAGCTACGTATCTATATAATTATCTTTTTTAAGATATGTACAGTATATATACACACACCGACGGACTGAAACTTCGAATGCTACGCTCCTTTCCTGAGAGTAGTTTACAGACAGTTAGAATGCTCCATGATGCCCCATCCGTCATTTCAGTATAACTTTACCTATCTCAATCTAAACACTTTGGGTCAGCATTCTAACTGTCTGGTCGCCGCCCGGGGCTGCGCCGCATTCTAAGTTTACGAAAAAGGGAAATTTGGAAACCTGGCGCGCATTCTAAGTTTCAGTCCGTCGATATAATATATACTGTACATAATATATATATATATATATGTGTATATATATATATATTCATATCCCACAATGCTGACTTTCATGTGGAATGATGATCAGCCATTGTGTTTTGGGCTACATCAACGCGGTATTGCTATTTTTGGTCACGACAGGTGGTTGCGGCAATCCTCATGCAGCAGATCATCCGTGCAGTGTACTATATGCATCAGAACAACGTCGGGAGCACCAGGATGGCTGGAGAATTTCCCTCTATAGATGAGTTTTCCCGGTAGAAATCTGATGCATCATTTTTTTTTGCAGCATTTAGAGATTTTTTTCATGATATTTATAGGGAATTTCTATAGATTTCCCCACTGCTTATTGGACTTATCGATGATTTTCCCGGCGCCAAAAACCTCCTCTGCATGGGGCCCAAGCTTCGCTTCTGGCCAGCCTGGCCCGCCTTCAGCAACTGGGCGACAGATGGGCCTCCGATTTTTTGGATTTGCAGTGGGAAAATGACGAAGAAATAGTCTATCCAGTGCTTAGGAGGAAGCTAAGGAGCAGGTGGGTATCCATATAATTCTATCCATATTCCAATCGTCATGGGAAGCCAGTTGGAGCTACGAATGGAGTTTCCCAACCACATGGTAGTAGTGGAATAGACATATTTTGATCGAACAGTCTCCAAATGACATAATTGCACAGCTTACTGTAAAATGCTGGGGTTTAAATCCGGATACAACATAATAAAAGCATCAAACATGCAGATTCAACCAATTTTCATAGTGGAACTGGATGGAACTCGGTCTCCTTTCCCTCTCAGCTCTGGTTGTGGTACGTTGGGATCTGAGGGATGAGTCGCCTCATATGGGTGCGGAGTGAAGTCTTTGATCATGGTGTTTTCAATACCTCCATCAGCTCCTTGGCGCAGATATTTATGACACCTTATGTGCTGCTGGCTGTGATGATTCACTGAGCAAACTTGATTTAAATTTTGAGCCACATGGGACATGCCCAAGGGCCCAAGGGCCCAAGGGCCCAAGTCATGGCCATGTATTTTACATTGGAAAAACGAGACCAGTGTGTCTGAAAATGGTGTTTCACAACCTGTGCAGTATACCAATATACCTCTTTAAATGGCTATTTTGATAGGGAAAATAGGAGGATTCTCCAGTGCGATCCGCAGATCCACAGTCACTTTTTTATGAACTCTGCAGGATGGTCCTCTTCGAAGGTCCTGAATTTCATGACGACTTTGAAGAGCCACATGAACACGACGACCTTGTCCAAAGAGGTGAGCTTGGCATAGCTTGGCCCGTTTTTTCATGCTTGGTCTTGGTCCCCAATTTCGTGGATTTAAGAGGACTCAACCTGTCCAAGATTGGCAAAAGGGGAAGAGAAACAGAGGACAAATGGGATCTTGTTCTGTCGTTCTGTCTGATTTTCCACTACCAGAAATGCCCCAAAAAAAGGGGGATGGAAAGCCGCTAGCCATGTGACTGATCAGAAATTAGCTCATTTCCACCTATGGTTGATGATATCCTATTGTTGCCATGATATTCCCATTGAAACTCGCCAACCATAAAATCCCCCGGGTGAACTCCATCAAATCCCATGAAATCCATATAAGATCCTATAAAATCCCATTAGATCCCCTAAAATTCCCATGAATCCCATAAAATCCGATAAATTTCCCATTCAATCTGACTACGATGCTTCAAAAATCTGCCAGGCGTGGTTAGACCTCAGCGTCAGTAGATGTAAACCCGCCTTGACCGAGTGCGGGCCTCAGAGGTTGACGGCGAACAGCCTCCGTTCTAGTCGTAAAGAACAAAGTTGGGGTCACAGCAATCCACAAAAGATAGAATTTGTAAACTCCGAATCTAAAATTTATTGATGTGATTTTACATTTATTTACTTTTCGATCTTTTCTTACTATAGCTTTTTCAATGGTTAGCTATGAATGGGTCATGATGGGGATATCATGGTCATATCTTACATTGATATAACTATTGGGAAACCACAGAGGTAGGAACGTCAAATCTTGAATGGGTGCTGCTATACATTTGAACGGGGGTAACTACACTTGTAAATGCTTTACGACGGACCAAGATACAAATGGGGGGTAAGTATACTGCTGAAACATATTCTAAGTGGGGGTTTACTAGACTTCTAAATGTGTTGAGTGTTGCCTTCAATTGGCTGAATCATGAAGATTCACCAAGCCAAAACAAGATCGATTTGGATGATTTCCCAGTGATAGTGATGGCGATGCTGTGTGGTGAGCTTCTTGTAATTCAAGCTTCTTATGTAGTTGCATACCGACTTCTATGCAATAAGATACATACATCCATATATTATACACCCGTACATACGTGAATACATGCATACATGAATACATGAATACAATTGAATACATACATCCATACATAGATGCATACATACCTACATACCTACATACTGACATACCTAGATTGATCCATACATCCATACAAACATATCATGGGGTTCACCTGCTGTAGGCTTCCAAGCACCGACACCCATCCACCATACATCAGTTATATCATCATATAGCAGGAAAATAAACATACACATACCTATCAACACCCATCATATGTAGAGATATGTAGAGTACATATCATACAATACCATACTTATACGTATAAATATCACATCCAGATATGTATATATTTGCATACACAGAATGACATATTACATATATACACATATCTATCTATCATATTACATATATATATATATATCATACATATATCATATATATATACACATCATATATATATATATATCATACTATCAACTGCAGGTGGGTTGCACACGAAGTCAGCACCTGGTAGAACTTCTCTGTTTTCTCTCCATCCACAGCGGTCGCACCGCCACGTCGCCTCGCGGTGACTCAAGGGCCCTAGAAATGGGCATTGAGCCCAAAGGGATGGGCGATCGGCCAGCCTCAAGATCATGCGTGTTGCATGCTCACTCATGTGTCGTGAGACTTACATTGACACAGGGGAAAAAGGGCTTTGTAAAGTGGCCAGATCGCACAAAACCTAAAAATCAGTTGGCTCGCCTTTCTTCGATGGCTTGCTCAACTGTTCGAGCTGTACGGAGCCGGGCTCTCAGGGCTCTTGCTTCCACGCGAAGCTCGTCGTCCATTTCTTCAGGGTGTAGCGCAAGGAGTAAACTGTCCTCCAGCGCTTGAACTCGTAGGGCTCGCTCTTCAGGACCAACTCCATCCCAATCGCTCGCATCGATCGGCAGTCGGAATGATCCCCGGTAGGTGCCCTCCGCAATCTCGTGCATAACCTCTGCTGTGAGCACCTCATTGATGCTGGGAGGCATCTCTGCTTGTAGTGCAGCTCGTCGTTGGTTCACTTCTCTGTCAGATAGCACCACTCGACCTTCTCCTTGAAGATAGGCCACTTGGCCCGGGGTCAGCCAGCTCACCGTCTCGCCATTGGTGGCGAACACTCGGGTTCCATCGCCCAGCCTGGGTGTTAGGACTGGAGTCACAATGTCCCCCTCGTAGGTCACTGGTCTGGCTAGACCATCGTCGCTACCGAAGTCTTGTTCCAGCAGCTCAGATTCTTCCTCTTCCTCTTCTTGTTGATGCCGTCCTTCTCCACCATCTCGAATCGCATCCATCATCTCATCGCTACTTGTGTCACTCATCTCGAACTCCGGGTCGAACTCCATTTGAGCTCCATCACCATGGACTAGAAGTGGTTCTTGTAGTCCTTGGGGACCGGGATGATGCCGAAGTGCTCGTCTCCTCTCATAGTTGATGCCCGCCAGAAACACCGCGATGACCACCAAGACAAACCCGATCACGATGACAATCACCTGGATGTAGGGGACCACGATGCCCTTCACAGTGAATTGCACGGCTTCAGCTCCTGGGATGCCCGTTGCTGAAAGCAGCATCCAAGAAGCGTAGGCCATCTCGGTCTTCTTGGGCTTTGAGCTCTTGTGTTGCGCAGCATGGAAGTGGCGTTTGGTACAGTACCTCTTGCCATTCTCAGTGGGTAGGCCACAACCATCCAAAAGACAGATTCCAGTCTCTTCCTTGTCTTCCGTGTCCATGTGCTCGGTCTTGAAGATCGTCTCTTGGATCTTGTGTCTCTTGTAGATCTCCTTGGCCGCGTTGTCCAGCACCTCCTGCTCTTTGTCCTTGTCCTCCTGCTTGACCTTCTTCGACGCCACATACTCAGGGTCATAGCGTAGGCAATGAACTCCTCGACGTAGTTCCATGGCCAGTTTTGCCCTTGCCGCTGCTTTCGTGACCCCGTCGGCCAGCTGCTGGTGCGAGTTGCACCATCTCATCACTCCACACGCAGCTTGCATCCTCTCGGCTGTGATCTTGATCTCGATGGCTGTACGCTTTTCTGCCAGCTTCATGCCGGGAGTTGCGATGTGCTCGCATCGAAGAGGGCTCGAGCATCTGTGATACATGGCGAAAATCCAAGCCATTTCATCACATGCTCACTGTCGGCTCCTTCTGAAGGCCACAGCATCAGGCCAAACATTGTCTTGGCCCATTCCAGATTGTCCACGGCTGTCGTCATGATCTGGGCCTCAGCGCTCAGTGACGAGCGGCAAACTCTGGGCAACTTGCGGCTGACCCAATCCACCACAGTCAGTGGGAAAGGTTTGTCTCCACCGATCTCCTTCTCAGAGGAGATGAAAAGAAGCCATCCCCCTTGCGAGGATCCATCCGGTCTGGTACTCCATGAGGCATCAGAGTAGAACCCAAACCTCAGTTGGCTGAGGGATCCATGAGCTCGCAAGGTCAATGGGATATCAGCCGTTTCCTTGGCGTACCTGAGGATCTTGTTGGCCTCGTTCAAGTCGGCGACCCGTGCTCCAGACACCGTTGCTTGTGCCAGGCTGATGGAGGCACAAAGGTGTGGCTGAGTCTGCGTTGCAGGCCACGCCATAGCTCCCAGAAGTCCACGAAGCTGGCTGACCTCTCGGTCTGTTGCCTTCTCCTCAGGGTTGGCCTTTCTGTTCTTCTCCACGGTCAGGGGCTTGACCTGGCGCAGGTACTTCTCCAGGCTGAAGGTGACCTCAGAAAAATCCAGGCTCTGGGTCAGGTTTGCGCCACAGAAAGTTTGCTTGCTGTCGTAGTTGATGGAACCGAACTTGAAGCGGTTCATGAGGACGTACATGCGCTCGGCAAAATTCTGGGGCTCGCCGTTCGGCTCGATCACGTCCTCGGGCTTGCAGACATACTCACCCGCAGCGATGATGTCATCCACATGGAGACCCAAGATGCCGTCCACCACGGAGTCGGTGCCGTTCATGTTGAAGACACGAAAAGGGTCATCATCCTGGATGGCCGCTCGGGTGCTCAGGTAGATGCAGCCGTCCAGCGGGTGCTTGAGGAACTTGACCTCCTTGGTGATGGCTTTGTCAGCGGTGTCATTCCACTGCTTGGGTGCCCTCACATCACCGAAGGCCGGCTTTGTCATCTGCATCACCTGGTGCTCCTGTAGCCCAAGCATCTCATGTAAGAGACGTCTCATGTCAGCCGAAGGTTCACCATACAGGTCGACCTTGTGGTGGATGTAGTCCGCTTGGAGGAAGGCGCTCTTCACATCCATGGTTCCAAGCTTCCACCTCAGAGTGCAGGCCAACGTTGTGAGCAGGTATTTTCCGAGCCTTGACAAGGTGGGTGACTCGGTGTCTAACTTGCTCCCCAAAACGTCTCGATGCTTGAATCCTTGGAGGATCACCCTGGCATGTGGGAGGCTCTCTTTGTATCGAAGAAGAAACCTCATCGGCACAATTGTGCCATCAGGCGCCGATGACCTGTCAACAGGTCGCCAGGCATCGTTTTCACACCGAGGCAGGAGAGCCTTTCTCTTCGCCTCCTTGAACTGTTGCTTGGCTGCGGCATCCAGCTTTGACTCGACCACAGCGTAGAGCTCGTCATCGACAGACATCTCCACCATGTGCAGCTCCTCCACTCGTGGTTGTTTCGGTGCAGGTTGACCATCAACTTGTCGACGAGGTGGTAGGCCATCCAGAACTCGATTCCGTTCTTCAGAAATCTGACTGGCAACTTTGAGGGCGGCTGCGTACATCCTCCGTTCTCGGTTGTAGGATTCGGGCAAATTCTCTGGTTGGTGTTCTTGTTGTTCAGTAATGCCCTTGGGATGTTCAGCCTCCTCAGGGGCCTCTTCACCTGCATCGTCATTTTCATTCCCAGCTGGAGTGCTTGAAGTAGCGGTGGCAGCTGGTGTGGCAGGCCTTTCAGGACCAGGGTCGGTCCAGACGCCAGCAGCTCTGTTGTCAACCTTCTCAGGCGAGGGCATTTCAGCTCTTGTAGGTCTAGGAGGGGACCTTGTCGTAGATGCAGTCGTGGTAGGTGCATGGATGGGGTACGTGTCCTCCTTGTCCGGGGGATCCATGCTGATGTCATCCTTGGAGTCGGTGGCGTCCTTCTCGGCTGGGGTCTTGTCATCAAAGAAGTCCATGTTGTGGTACCCGCAGCGTCAGAGAGGGCATACCCCCCAGGATAGTAGAAAGGATCTTGTCCAATCGCAGCCACATCCACAGCACGTACCGGGCCTCGAACAGGCTTGAGTGCTTGCAAAAGTCGAGTGGACATGGGCATTCGCAGTTGCTCAAGGTGAGGAGGTTGGCTTTGCCGTTCAAAACGTTCAGGGACACTTTCGTGTCGAAGTTGGGATCGAGTGCACCTCAAAAGAGAGGATCCATGCACAATCCTTAGATGGTGCTGGTTCGATCAGGCATCACTTCCACGGCCACAACCAAGCAGGGTCCTCGCCATCGAAAAGGGTCGAGCTTGTGAGTTTGGGGCTTCCAGTAGTAGCACCAATCTCCAACAAAGAGTTCATCCTGCTCAACTCTTGATCTTGCCAAAATGGCTGATCGCATGGCAAGGTCAGCGTTGGCCTTGTGGAATGCCACAGCAGCTGTCTCTTTGATGAGGGTGTTGCGCACTTGGTCGCGCTCATCACCGAACTTTTCAGGTCCGGGCTCGTCAGCATTTCCACCCTCAGATGGCACATATGTGCAAATGCCATAGTCGCTGGCGATGAGCCAGACACAGATGCCAGGCGATTCCGCTGGTGACATGTTGCCAGCAGTGCCTTGTCAAAGGGGACGTCGGGCATCTCCTTGTGGAAGATCTCCAGCTGCTTCCTTCTCACGGCATGATTGCGCTCCAGGATGCCAAGTCTGTGGTGTGCTCCACGTGGGATTAATTCCAATCTCATCCCATGAAGGCTCGCCCAATCAGCAAAAGTCGAAGACTGATGGGGGCCACTGGCATCCAGCCTGAGATGGGTCGGAAATCCAAAAGACCTCATCCAGGAAGATTCCAACAGCGCAATCTCCATCTCAGCCGTCTCCTCGACGATGTGGTGGTCCATCTCGTACCGAGAGTACTCGTCGAGCACCGTCAGCACCCCAAGTTTCTTGCCATCCCACTCCATGTAGAAGGTGTCGATGGCAATCGTGTGGTTGAAGTGGGGGGCTTTGCGAAGAGTCGCAACCCTGACGGCTTTCGGCTCTTGTTTGCTCCAGCATGTTGGGCACTTGTAAGATCTGGCCACTTGGACGTACTCCTTGGGGAAGTCGCGCTGCTTCACGGCCACGATGAGCTTCTGAGCTGATGGATGCCCGAGTTGGCGGTGGAGAAGTGCAATTGCTTTCAAAGCCTCAGGGCCAGCAATGCGAATGAGCTCCTTGTTCTGCTCAAGGTACTTCATCTCATCGGTTGACTTCTCAACCATCTCCATCATCATCAGCTCGGCCTGACAGCGCTTTCTCCATGCCACCTCCATTGAGTTGTAGATGGCATCACCAAGGATCTTGACCAATCCAGGCTCATAGTTCTGCATTTGTTTCAGAGCCTTTCCTTGCCCCATCATCTGCTGGTGTGGGCCTCTGCAGATGCAAGACAAATTGCAGGCTTCGGCCACCAATCTTGTAGTCGATCTGAACCTCGTTGGTTTCTTCACGAACTGGGTGTCTCGAGAGTTCAGCTTGAGGGCCGTTCTGCATCTGTCCAGCACAGTTTCGAAGTAACCACGCATAGATTCCAACGTCGTGGTTCTCCAGGAAAGGGCCTCAGCAGGTTGTTCAGCAGTGACATCACATCCAATTGACTTGCCCTTCTTGTGAACTTCACTGTAGAAGCGAAGGTGGATCTTCTCCTCCACTGCTCTCATCTCAGCCAGAAGCTTCTTTCTCTCGTCGGTTCTGTGGTTCATGTTCTGCATGGGGCTCCACAATCGGCATTCAAATGCCATCATGATGTGGAGTGGCCGCTCCTGGTCCATCAAGTCCAAGAACCGAAGCTGCTCCTGTCTGTTCTCGAAGTTCCAGTCAGGCAGACTGAAAATCCTGGTCTCCACATCATCCTTCTTGTTGAGGAACTGTGACAGGTTGCCTTCGTCGACGTAGACCTCCCAGAACCGCATCTTTCGTTGTTGGTGTTCAGATCGGCTGCACACCAGCTGAACCACTTCTTCCACCATATCCGTCATGTCCACCTCGATGCCGAAGTCCATCTCAGACACGTCGTCGGTGATCATGGAGCCGATGTAGGTGGTGTCGTCAGCGTCCTCGGTGTCCAGCAGCGTCACGTTCATGGCGTCCTGAAGGTCGTCGAAGAGGTTGATCATGTAGTGCCCGTTGGCAGTTCTTGATGGCTTCACTGCTTTGCCATCAACTCGGATCGACTGCTGTCCATAGTTGACTTCAACGTTCCATTTTTCCAAGTCAGGTCTTGCAAGTAGAAGAGGTGTGTTGCCAGGCAGGACGTGTATGTTCAGGCTCCTCCATTGTTGGGCAACACAAACTGGGATCGTTGCCACCATCGTAGATCTGATCACCACGCCGTCGCCAAACCTGAAGTCCTTGGGCTCGTTCTTGGTGGTGACGTTGTCCATGAGGTCGCGCATCACCATGTACTCCACAAGGCGATTCCAGATTGACGTTCCACAGACCGACTTGGTTGCGCCAGAATCCATGATGGCCCATCCAGCTTCTGTCCCGTTGTAGTGGATCTCTTCCATGACATTGGATCGCACCTCCAGGTCGGTCACATCCAGCTCGGTCACCATGTTGGCTTCATCTGGAACTTCTTTGATCCCTGAAGCCGGGAGTCGGTATCGTTTGAACCTGGGTCCATGTGAACTGGTACTCCCGCTCGTCGTTGACCGTGCCGTAGTGGAAGCTGTCGAATCCCTTCCTTGGTTTCTTCTCCCGAATGCAAATCTCTTTGCACCGGGTGGCACAAAGCTTTTGCCTTTGGCCTTGGTGGAGTGGTTGTTCTTTCCACCTTTTCCTTTTCCTTTTCCTTTGCCTCCACCACCTTTCTTGCCCTTCTCATTGTTGCCACCCATGTCGAGGGCCACAATGGGGTAGAAGCCTCTTGCCAAGGCCAGCTCTCTCATCTTCTTTCGGCTGTCCAGGTAGGAGATATAGGCCTCCTCCGTTGCGATCAGGGCTTCATCCAACTCAGGCGGTGGTGGCTCCTCCTCTTCGTTGGTGTAGTCCACCTCCTCGTAGTCATCCACATAGGTCTCGTCCTCGTCGTAGTAGGCCTCGTCCATGTCATCGTACTCGTAGTAGTCCTCGTAGGTCTCGGCCACATTGACATCTGCACCTCGCAAGGCTGAGTCTTTCAGGTTCGGCTTGCTGTCGCCGCCGAACATTCTTGTCATGGCTTTTGCCACTCCTTTCACATTCAGTTCTCCTCCGCAAAGGGCCTTGATCTGCGGGTGGGTCCACCGAGGCACACCTGCTCGATTGAGCATATGCCACCCCGCCAGAAGAGGCGGCACCTCCACTTGGAGCTCCTTCAGCTTCCGCAGCATGGTTTGGTGGCGCACTATGTACGCCTGGAGTTCTTCTCCTTTCTCTCTCTTGAACTGCTCGAAGAACTCCTGGCATCTTTCTGGCAGCTCCACCTCGTCCTCGTGCTGGTACAGCAGGTCCAAGGTCTGCCTGATGACGTCAAAGGGGTTCTCCGCCAGCTCCACGTCGTCGTAGTCTATCCCCTCTGTTGCGTCCCATGCTGAGTCCTGCAACTGCGACATCACAAGTAGAGCTCCTTCTACTGCTACTTCTCGTCCTCGTCGCAGGCACTGTCTGCTGAAGAGATCAAGCCTACGTCTGTAGGCCCGATAGTTCCGTTGACAAAGTCCATGGGCATTTGGTGCGGCCTTAGCCAGTCCAGAGTCTAATCCCCTAAAGGAACCTCCAGAAGCTTCAGCACCACCTGGTACATCAGGAATAGCAGGAGGATCACCAGGTCCTTGTCCAGCGGGTTGTTGGTGCCCTCCGGGACCGTTGACTCCTCCCTTCACCATGGCCTTGTCTCGCCTCGGTAGCAGCCCAGCCCTTCACGGGCTCCGCTACCAATATCAACTGCAGGTGGGTTGCACACGAAGTCAGCACCTGGTAGAACTTCTCTGTTTTCTCTCCATCCACAGCGGTCGCACCGCCGCGTCGCCTCGCGGTGACTCAAGGGCCCTAGAAATGGGCATTGAGCCCAAAGGGATGGGCGATCGGCCAGCCTCAAGATCATGCGTGTTGCATGCTCACTCATGTGTCGTGAGACTTACATTGACACATACATATATCACATATATATATATATATACACATCATATATATATATGTATGTATCATATATATCATATATATATATATATCATATATATCATATATATATATATATATATCATATATATATATGTATGTATGTATCATATATATGATATATATCATATATATATTATATATGATATATATCATATATATAGTATATATATATATAAAATATAATATATATAATATATATCATATATATAATATATAATATAATATAATATATATAATATATATAATATATAGCATATATATCATATATATCATATATATATATATCATATACATCATATACATCATATATATATATCATATATATACATATATATATATATCATATATATATATATATCATATATATCATATGTATCATATATATATATTCCATATAATATATTTTTATATATATATATCATATATATCATATGTATAATATATATATATATCATAATATATATATATATTATGATATATATATATTTCATATAATATATATATATATAATATAAATATATATATATATATCATGTATATACGATATATATATATATTTATATATATACACATTACATATAGATATGATCTCCTCATTTGCCATGTGCAGGACGGAAGCGTCAACGTACTGGACCGTCTTCAGTGTCCTGCAGCAAAGCATCCTGGGCGATCCGGGAGATGTGCCTTGGGCTGTTGGAAACGGGTGAAGCCTTGGGAAATGAGGGGTTACCCTAGGGTAAACCAACATAGATGTGAAAAACCCATGGGTTTCCCCCAGGAATTTCCACATTTATGTTAGTTGAACCAATCATTGACTTGGTTTAAGGGAAAATCTTAACCGGAAACCGTGGTTTGTACCATGAAATATGGGTGTTTCCTGTAAAATTTCCCTTAAACCAATCCGATGAATCAAGAAAAAGGATGAAACATGGAGGAAACTTGGTGAAAAATGCGGGTTGAACTCATCAGAAAATGGCACCAGTTTTTTCACTGTTTTCAGGATGGGATAAAGCTAAAAATGATGGAATATCACCAACAAAAGGATTGGGATGTATGATATTGGCCTGTAACTTGTTGGGATATGAAGGGATAAGAACAATCTGATCTGGTGCGAACATGGGATTGATGGCCCTATTTTATGGTCATCGGGAATTGATTCGATCAAGCAGTGGATGGAATGGGGTTTTCCCAAGTGACAAAACCGTGTTGCGGTATCCATGTATGATTTGGAGATGTTTCGAGAAGCCGAGAAGTTAGGGCATGTCAACTTTCGGATTTTGGGGATCCAAATGATTTCTCTTTTTCTAATCTTGGGAGCCAACAAAAACTGGGAAATTGATGGAAATTGGCCACAATTTGCAGCCCCCTGAATTTCACATAGAACCGACATTTAGCGAAATTCCAACGACGATTTTCGTAGAAATGCTTCAACTGGTAGAACCCCAAAATAGTGGGGTGTAGCGACCTGAAATCCTCGGTGAAATCCTCAGAATTCCTCCAAGTTGCTGAAAAATGAGCCCCCCATTTGAAGCGTTGGAAATGGGCATCACAACACCCTTCGAAGCTTAAAGGCTGCCGATTTTCAGCTAAGTTTTGTTTGGTTTGGAGCAAGGCTCGCACTGTTTTTTTGTGGCTTCTTTTGGCCGGAGGGGCCTCATTTTGGGCTACTGACTTGTACAGTTTCTGTCAGTGTTTGGCCCTGGTGCAATATAATGGCAACTTTGAATCGGATATGCCCCCAAAAACATCAAAAAACCATAGTCCAGACCATTCAAAGTGACCTCTTTCTCCCTTGGTTTGAGGTCACTTAACCCTTGAAATGGTCACTTACTAGGCCCAAAATAGTCACTTTGAACTGTCAGGGTGATAATATATATATATATATATGTATATATATATTATACACTATCATACCACATTTCTCCATAACTCCCAGCTATTTTGGGGTGAACATTTCTGCGGGAATTCCCACTGTTTTTGATCGCTAAGTGGATGATGGCTATCTGATTTTTTGTGAAAGGTTGGGGTACCATATTCTCAGAGAACCCCAATTCAATGAGGGGAGAATCCTCAACATTCGTTTCCCCTCATCATCATCATCATCATCATCATCCTCATCCTATATAGTCCCAATCACTTCTTCTTCCCGTTTTTTCTCCAAAAAACACATCATTGCCATGGTCAAAAATCCCATTTTCAAACTTTTTTGGGTGGTCTTTTTCCAGAAAAATCCCCCATGTCCCGAAAATGTAAGGTGATGGACATCCGACTCATTGGGATCATCTTGATCTGTCAAATCTTCAGTTCCTCCAGGGCAAAGGACTCGCGAAAAAATGGCCGCCTTTGTTCGGAAAAAACACAAGGTTTCGAGATGTTTTTTCTTGCGAAAACCTGAGATCACCTGAGTCTAAGGTTGACCTTGATGAATTCTGTCGTTCTCCTATTGATGTTCCAATATGTCAATGTTGCTTGTGGATCTTTATGCTGGTTCCATTCCCAAAAACAGTAGATATCCCCTGTGCTCATCTTCAGCCTTTTGCGGTCCAGACAGGTGTATCCTATTTCATCATCACCATGCTCGGACAAACCTCACATTTTTTTCTTCATTAAGCCCCGGGGAGACGAAACAATGGAAAAATGGAGGGAAAATGATGCTTTATGAAGAAAATGATGAAACATATGGAGGATGTTTGGGAATATGCGGGTTTTACCAAGACAAACCGACACACCTCATATGTTTTTTCCCCCTTAAGCCCCCCATAGAGCCCCTGAAGCATCATTCAACTATGGGGATCTTAGGAATCCTCTTTTTATGTAAGTTTCAACCAGCCATTGAAACAAACAACCAGGCTTACCGTGGGTTTTGGGTAACCTCATACAACTTGTTGGTTTTATATGGTTTTATATCCCTATGCCATGGTTTTGTATCCATATGTTTCATCATGTTCTTCATAAAAGCCTCATTTTCCGCCAATTTTTCATTAGATTGGTTTACGGGATTTTTTTTTAGGAAAACCCCATATTTAATGGTAAAAACCATGGTTTCCTGCAGAATTTCCCTTAAACCAATCCAATGAATTTTCCCATGTTTTCATCTCCCCAAGTGGTGCCATGTTGCAGGAGAGCCAGCTGAAGACGGAGGTCTGGAACGAGCGCGCGCCGGGCCTGGCTCCGGGGGCTCTCTCCCCTCGGAGCTCCCCCAGGGCGGCCAAGACCATGTCCTCGCTGCTTGAAGCGGTGAAGACTTGGAAAAGCCATGTGGAGATGGTCATTAATCCGGGTAAATTATAACGACCTCACTGCGACCTCACTGGAATCATGGTTAATAAGGGAAATCATCCCCAAATGGCCTTAATTCAGGTTGGTGAATTATTATAATTTGCCCAGAAATTAATGTCAACGCTGGATTAATAAACCCCAAACGGTTACCAAACGGTTGTTTAATTGGGGGGATACCATAAATATCAGTATCAGATGATATATGACTATTTGGGGAGTACCCCCCTAATTAATAAAGTGTGGTTCATTAATCCGGGTTTGACATTATCCCATCATGATCCCATGATTATCCCATGATTATCCCATGATTATCCCATCGTCCCAATAAGTGGAAACATAACCGGCAACCATAGTTCTAAATGGGGATATGGTCATGGCTATATCATGGGATAGTATGGAACTAACCAACTATATACAACTATATGATGTTTGAGATATATGGGGATCCCATCATTATCCCATCATGATCTCAATAAGTGGAATATCATGAAATATCACCATAGTTCTAAATGAAAATACCCTCTGGTAAACTAACATAGCTATTGAAAATGGCCATTTATAGTGGATTTACCCATTAAAAATGGTGATTTTCCATAGTTATGTTAGTTTACCAGAGGGTACCCTTTAAACAAGAGGATTTGAGCAACTGACAAAATTATTGTAATACTAGTTTAGTTTTTCTTCGCCTTGGCCTTTCGGAGGTTGCACAAAACCTTCATAATCGATAGGAGAGGACCCTATACCGATACCCCATTTGTGATACCTCCGGGAATACTGAAATCCTCGCAACCGATAGGGGAAGGCCCTAGTTTGTGCATGGCATTAAATTTAACAGATCATTTTTGTCCGCTACTCATATCATAGCTATATCAATTATATCATAAGTATCTATCCTGGAATGGAACTAACAAAACCAACTATGATAGATGTACAATATGAGTATGCCACAACATTTCTAAGGCCCTTTTTTGGTTGGGATATGGGGAACTATGGTGGTATGGAGCCCTATAACTTGGGATATGATGGCTAGAACTAGAACTATATGTTTATTTCCACTTATTAGGATAATGATGGGATAATGGTGGTCGAAGGAAGTTTAGAAGTCAAACTTCCGACAAAATGGACAGATGGAAAAGCAGAGGTGGGAAGAGTCAGAGAAGAGAAGAGCAGAAGAGAGAAGATCAAAGAAGAGAAAGAGTGAGAAGAAAGAAGAGGCACGCGCGCGAAAAGGTAGCAAAGTCGCGAAACACTGTGTCTTTCCAATGATTTGTGGCTTGAAAAGTAGGCTCGCTAAAGCGGCGGGTGCGGAGCCATGTGGCCAAATGAGAGATGAAAAATTGCACGCCGTTGTGGCGCGAAGCACCTTTCCAAGTCAAAACGTGCAAACACCTCAGGGTCGGCACGCTGTTGTGGCGCGAAGCACATTTCCAAGTCAAAATGTACAAAGCACACCAGGGTCGGAGCGCTTTTGGAAGTTGTGATGTCGAAAAAGTGTAGGCCGTTGTGACGCAAAGCACATGTCCAAGTCAAAATGTACAAAGCACACCACGCTCGAAGCACTTTTGGAAGTTGAGATGTCGAAAAAGTGCACTCGGTTGTGACGCGAAGCACATTTCGAAGCCAAAAGTGTTAAAAACTGACGGGTTCGGAGCACTTTTGGACGTTCAGATGTCGTTTCGCGTGGCAACTACACTACACTTATTACAGATTACAACTACAACTCCACTACACCACACTACAACTAGAACTACAACTGCGCTACACCACAGTACGTCCAGCAGTTGTGGGTGAGGTGACCACTGCAACCATTGCAACCACTCCAAAAAACACAACTTCAACTTCAACCACCTTTCGGTCCATCAGTGGATGAGTTCTGCCATCCGTGATTCGCAACAGCCAACCTCTCCTATAGGTTTCCTATTTTTGAAACTTCCACCACCGCCTTGTGCGGTACTACTGGAGATCACCGTGCAACCATAGAATTGGGACCATGTTAGCTGTTTTGTTGGAATATCATTGCGTATGCATGTGTATACACATAGAGAACCGGCAAATCTTATATGGGTGTGTCAGAAAAAGGGGAAACCCCTAGGTATGGCCATCTGAAAATTCAGGAAATTATGATCATCTAATGGATGTAAAGGTGCACCATTTTTTCAGACAAACCCTTATGGCTGTAACAATGGGATTTGAAACCCTGTAAAGTTCGAATTTTATAGTTTTAACTATGGTTATATTTGCACCAAGTTTGAATATCCCAATATTTTGGGTAGGAACCTCTGTAAATATCTATCGGTGATGGTTAAATCCACATTGAACCACTATAAAAACACATGATTGGCAGTTATATAATGTTATATATATAGTTTTTCATATTTTTTTAAAGTCATCCAAAGGCAATTCGTACGTCCTCCAGACCATTTCTTGAAATATAGTTTGGGTCCATGTTGGAGGGATGCTGTTAGAATGGCAATTGTAGATAGTTGTGGAACTTATTGGATTCCTAAACCCCCTGACCTCATGTTCCACTTTTCAAACGCAGGGTCCATGTTTGAGGGATGGTGTGATTCAATTGGCCCAGTATGTTTTTTTTTTTACGGTTCAATATTTAATACCCTGCGGCATCAAACTTAGTTCGATGATTTTCCCAGCTACGAGGATTTGTCAGCCAGCCACGTTTCATGACACTCGAGGGCAAATCCATCAATATTCCATGTTTTTACCCCAGTATGTAAAGATTCCCATTATGCAACCAATATGCATCCATTATAACTATCTTCATTATTATTCCATCCCATTATATCCCTATAATTATCCATGATCACCACTATTATCCCAATTATATCCCGTTGTATAATCATTATGTATTTTATTTATCACTATAATTTTCCGATTATAACCCAAATTATTATCACTAGTATCCCATTATAGCCCCATTATTATCATTATATTATCCCGTTATAGTCCCCATTATCCTATTATCCCATGAAAACAATAGCATCCCATTATTTTCCTATCAACCATGAAATCATCCCCATGAACTATACGTAGTTATATCACTATTTCTATGGGCCATTTTCAATAGCTATGTTAGTAAACCATTATAACCCGCATTAACTATAGTTACATCTACCATAAACCATTGAATTCAGCCACTGAGTTCACATACTGAGGTCACATCCGCCATCCTCGGGTCGAGGTTTGGAGTTCACCCAAGCCTTACATAGCTTTGTGAAACAACACCTCGGTACCGTCCTCAGGGTCGGAAAGTCGGAAAAACCCTGGCTTTCACCTGGCAAACTGGGGATTTCATCATCAAAACGGTTGGTTTTTGGGGTTTTCGCCAGCCATTTTTGGGGGATAACAAAGGGGATTCAAGTGCTAAAGATCGGGATTTCACTAGTCAAACACCGTTGGCTAATGAAATCATTCTCCTCATGAACAAACAACGCTTTTGTGGGTGAATTGCCATTTTCAGACACACCCAAACATCAGTTGGTGAGTTACATTCCATATTATATAATATAATATAGCCATTGATAACAATGAATCATATCCCCATGAAAGGTTGGTATGCCTGGTATGCCCATGAAAGGAACACACGATTTTTTGGGCCGTTTCGAAACCAACTCCCGAGATCCCCCGAGGCTCATGGCTTCAGATTGCCAGCCTGACTCTGCAGTCCGATCCTGCATCGATCACAGCAGAGGAATTCGATGTTTTAGGCGATGGCGCATCATGTTGACACAGGGTGTAATAGAAAAAATGCAACCCCATTTTTTTTCGGTGATTTTGATTATTGACAAAATCACCTACAGATACCTACAGTACGTATTACGTATTACGTATTGTTTTTCTATATCTTTTAATTAATCATCTCCGGTGCGAGTGCCTCACTTTTGCAGTCATCTTCTTACTGGTGCTTAGTAGGGAATGGATGGGAATGGGGGAATGGGATGATTATTGATAGTTATTGTGGATCATTCCTTCATTCCCTACTAAGCACCAGTAAGTCTTTGTTGCACCCTGCAGGTCTTATCCTTTGCGGCGGCACCTCAAAGACGCAGCCCCTCTGGAAACTGTGTGGCTCCCACAGGGGTCAGAGTACAGAAAAATGCATTTCATTTGTACATTACTTGTACATAACTAACACACACATATATATATATATGTATGTATGTATGTATATATATATATATGTATGTAGGTATATATATATATGTATATATATATCATATGTATCATATATATATATATATCATATATATATATATATATATCATATGTATCATATATATATATATATATCATATATATATATATCATATGTATCATATATATATATATCATATGTGTCATATAAATATATATATATCATATATATATATATATCATATGTATATGTATACATATATATGTAATATAACTTGTACACACACACGCACAACTTATTGATTTTAGCCATCAGACACATTCTGGTGTATTGACCGGTAAGGTCCGATGCGCTGCCGGAATTGGCGTCAAAGTGCTTGGGTTGCAGCAACTGTAGTCACTGTCTTATGCCTCTTCACAATTGGCTACCCGCAATTGTCTTTAGTATTGTAACTTTAGTAACTTTAGGTCTGTATGAAGATTGGCTACCCGCAAATCCAATGGCCCAATGGCCCCATTAACGGAGGACAGGTCCTGGAAGGTCCTCGCCCAGCGAAGGTCCTCTATGCCAACAGCAGAGTTGCGAAAAGCTGTGGTAAAGCTGCTGTGTTGGAACGAGGATATTTACACGCCACTTGACTCGTTTCGACTCCGGCCGAACAGGGCCGGGAGTAAACTATGGCCGTTTGGGACCCATAGTTAGCTAAGTTGACTTATAACTTGGTTAACTATGGTTTTGGTAAAGATATCCATACTATGGTTTATAAACTTGGAACTGGGGGCACCAGTTCCGCGGCTCGCTAAAATCATCCCTAGATTTTTGTCCGGTCCTCAGGACCGATGTGGCCAAAGATGGCCTGGAGCCAAGAGCGAAGACGCTGAATATCAGTAATGTGCTCCGGGGCATTTGGTTCCACAGGCGTGCTGAAACAGGGGATGGACAAGCCGATGGGTTCCAAGGGCGCAAAGACACGTAGAGTAAAGGGCTGTGCTAACATTGATATCATCTGGTTGGTGGTGACTGGAACGTGACTTTTATATATACTTTGATGACTTTCCAAAAATGGGAAGAATCATCCCAACTGACGAACTCATATTTTTCAGAGGGGTAGGTATACCACCAACCAGTCATTGATCAGTACTGGCCAGGCCGCACAATGCTGAGATTGAATATTTGAACATTGTTGCTCGGAAGCGGAGATGTTGATATCCACCTCAACGTAGTCAGTCCTGTTTTTTTTTGTCAGAGATTCTATTCAAAATTGCTGGTCCATTGCTGTCCCGAGGCTGACTGCAAAGACAGTACAATCTATGTGACTGCACGTATCCGTTATTGCCTGATCACTGGTTGTGAAAGCACCACCATAATCCTGGGTGGAATCTGGGCTGCAACTTCTTTCTGTGTCCCAACTGGAGGTGGAATTGATCGAGTAGCACCGCCTGCACGGCTGAGGAGTTTCCACGATTTGCACAACCCACAACTGTGAGAAAGTCTCAGTTCATGTGGCTGCGCACTGCTACAAAATGGAGAACTGTATCGATACATCTGCTTATTTGCCACTTGGTTCAGCATGTTCAGCCATTGCGGCTTGCTTCTTTCTCCCCCCTTTGTCACTTTGAACCGTGTCACAGGGTAGCAGCTGCCGTTTTGTTTGAGGTATTGCCACATTCCTCCAATCATCACTGGGGATACCAGAGGCCATTCTGTTGGAGAATGGGACCAGGAAAGAAACGGCTACAATTGCGCAGAGATGTGCGTTTTGTGGGGTACTTGAAATATATTCCTTCTCAACTAGAATCTCTCTATATAAATAATATACATACATACATACATACGTACGTACGTACATAGATACATAGATACATAGATACATAGATACATAGATACATAGATACATAGATACATAGATACATAGATACATAGATGCATAGATAGATAGATAGATAGATAGATAGATAGATAGATACATAGATACATAGATACATAGATACATAGATACATAGATACATAGATACATACATACATACATACATACATACATACATACATACATACATACATACATACATACATACATCGTACATACGTACACACATACATACATACATACATACATACGTACATACGTACATACGTACATACGTACATACGTACATACGTACATACGTACATACGTACATACGTACATACGTACATACGTATACATACGTACATACGTACATACGTACATACGTACATACGTACATACGTACATACGTACATACGTACATACGTACATACGTACATACGTACAAACGTACATACGTACAAACGTACATACGTACATACGTACATACGTACATACGTACATACGTACATACGTACATACGTACATACGTACATACGTACATACGTACATACGTACATACCATACATACAGACATACATTATGTATATGTATATGTATATGTATATGTATATGTATATGTATATGTATATGTATATATTAATATTATAGCAAACATTGAATCAGTGTTTGTATCGTCATTTTTGCCGAGCTGAGCTGCGGCACAGGGATCAAATTAGCGCCCTACAACGTCCTTCATTCCCACATGGCATCCGTGCTTCACGGATCACAGTTTCGGGGCAGCATGGGATGGGTGAAATCACAGAGTTTTGTGAAAACGATTTTTAAAGTTTCGGAAAATCTTCGTTGAGGAAGTTCCTCCTGATTTGAGGAAGACCCGCCATTTTTTGGCAGAAACACAGACATCTCCTGAGCTGATACGCAATTGTTGCTAGCTGTAGCTTGCAAATGTCGGCATTGTTGTAGCCAGCCCCATGTCTAGTCACTGGACCAAACTCATTTGCCCTTGATGTTTGGTCCCATCTGCTTGGCATTTTCTGAACGTTTGCTTCCTCTCTGGGGAAGTGGATTTCTTTCTTTTCGCGGAGTTGTTGTTTCCAAAGATGTGGGGAGGGCTCAATTTCGGGACCATTCTTGTCCATTTTTCTTGGTTACTCAAGAACCTCGACAACTAATGTTAGTGAAGCAATGTCATCACCCAAATTTTGACGGTTTATACTAGCCATAAACCATGTTTTTTTGTAATTTGGGTGGGTCCTGTTGCTCACATTACCACTTGGCCCGGCAAGTTGACCTGAGGATGACCTTAGACAGCAACTTTGTTGACGTTTGGGCCTATCCCATCTGTTGCACCGCTGGCATGCAAAACGACACGCTCAGCCGCGATGCCTTCCAAGAAGAGCAAAATACAACCTACCACTTTGCAGCATGGCATAACTTGGACTGAGAAAAAATGGAAAATTGACCCCTGACAGCAAATGGCACGCAAAAAGAGGACCCCAGGGAACATGATTAGAATTTTCATTGGATATTGGGGGCAACCAGAATTTTCAATAATTTTCAGACAAAGCCATTTAGGGAAGCCATGGCACCAAGGGTTTTTTGATCAGTTTCTGAGGTCCACCCGAGCAAGTTCTTCCCAGTGGTCGTCCCCGAGACGGGTCCCCGTGGTGTTGCTCCTCAACTGGTCTTACCAGAGGTCTATGACAAGGCCATGAAGGAGAGCGCCGTGGCTGCCGTTGCAGCGAAAAAACATGCCCAGAACTCTGTGTTTGAACTTAGTTGACTATTGAAACCTGTTGAACGAGATATTTTTTGTCAAGTTGTGATTATAGATATGTAGATAGTTGGATATGTATCCATTAATATATCATTATCTCAGTATTCGCCCATATCCCAGTGATCATTACGCCATCATCAATCTATTGACTTATCCCTATCTCATTATCATTATTATCATTATCCCTATGATCCCTATCCAAAATTATTATCCCAAATCCCAAATGGTAAACCCTAAATTAGGCCCTAAACCCCATCTCATTATATCCCTATGATCTACCTATTATAATTATTCTCCATTATTCCCCACAGGAGCGACAAGAGGAGATTCGACAAGTCCCTTGGCGACGAATCTCTGGTGTTTTCACTTATTTTCTGGAAAATCCATGAGAAGTTACTTTATTGCCATGGTTTATGATGTTGCCATGAAATATCAATGAGGTTTCCTGCAGATGTTGCAGAGTTTCCCGCAGACTGGTCTGAGGTGATGAACCAGCTGAAAGGAATTTCCAATGAAACTGCTCAAAGAAAGGCTCAGGCCTCTCCGCTCATGTTTGATGGCACAACCCGAGCTCCACACATGTGTTGCTATGCAGTGCACATCCAGCTTTGGCCAGGAGAGAATCCAGAGCTGCTTCAAAGATTGGTTGCAATCCACAGGGAAGGTCCGACAATTGTCGGATCTTGCAAAGTTTGCAGCACAGTTCCAGCAAAGGCCAGCTGCTTTCATATGTTGAAACAGGGTCCATGTCGCAGCTGGACAGGTACCATTTGGTAAACTGGCCATGGAACGCCCTGATTTTTGTCATCTAGAACTGTACATACATAAATAGCTATAGCTAAATATTATATGTACATACATACATACATACATACATACATATATATATATATGTACATATGTGTATATATATATATATGTACTAATATACATATGTATCTCTATATATATATATATATCTACGTATATATATATATATCTATCTATCTATGTGTATATATATATATGTATATATATATATATTTACATGTATATACATATATATATAAGATTAAGATATAAAAGATAGTATGATGGATTTCTCAATTGCCAGGTTGGATCACCAGACATCACAGCAACATTTCAGATTTTGCCGCAGGCTCTGAGGCGATGAACTTTGCGAAAAGAGCGTTGTCCCAGTGGAAAAACAACCCGAGCGTCGTGAAGCCACTTTTGGGGTGACTCAAATCATACAATGATATCATTGGATTATAATATATTATAATCATAAAACCCATATGATTATCATAAAACCCATCATACTTGTTGATGAACCCCTACAATGGTTATAGGCCCCCGAAACGGATAGCGTTCAGTTGGGGTTCACATAACTCTAATTTCACGAACTGGTTTATGGTACGTAAATAACGAACTAGTTACTGGGGCGAATCTAAACCAACTAACATCACTGGGTGGCCTCATAGCCATATTGGGGGATGATCATCCAATGAAGTGTGGGATTTTATTTATACTCACTTAAACCGGTGATTTCACTGTGGATTTCACCGTGGATTTCCATTGCTATATTGGAAGTTTGGGGATGAGATGGATGACCATACCTCCATCATTCATCCTATGTAACTTGACCATTCCACACATGGCATGTGGTCTTAGCGTATAGTATATATTTCAATGAACAAAAACACATATCATATCAAGTTGGATATCATATCAAGATGGTTACCTATATCCCATTAAAAAATCCAATTATAATTCCATTATGGTTGGGTACATCCCATAAATATCTCATTCATATCCCATGAATCCCATTAATATCCCGTGAATCACTTTCCGAAACAGGTCACCCATCGAGATCTAAAGCCCGAGAACTTCCTCTTCACCAGCAAGGCGTCGTTTTGTCGTGGGACGGCGGCCATAGCTATACCATAGCTACCCTCTGGTAAACTAACATAGCTATTGAAAATGACCATTTATAGTGGATTTTCCCATTAAAGATGGTGATTTTCCATAGTTATGTTAGTTTACCAGAGGGTATACCATAACTATAGCCATGGAAGTGCGGGAGTAAAACCAAGCCTGGGCAACTGGCGTGGATTGTTTCTGTTTAAATTCCAGGAACCGATCGAGAAGAACTTCCTGAAGATTATTGACTTTGGACTCTCGTGCAAATACACCGACGGCCAAGTTCTTCAAACCAAGGCGTGTCAACTGTCGATGTTTGAAACTGTAGCCACCACCATCAAGTTGGTTAGTCAATGTTAGTTATATCCTATATAACAAAGATTGGTTGTTACATGGAAGGCCAAAGATAGATAATATCTATATCAATAAGCTATTGTATATATATATACTCATAGCATCACATAGCTATGACAAACCATGGAGTGACACCTTTCATGTCACCAGTGTGTCACCTTTTATAGACATCGCCCAGGCAGGAACTCCATACTATGTGGCACCGCAGGTGTTGCACGGAAAATATGACCAGGTACGGTGTTGGAGCTGTCCAGTCGATGAGATCTGAGCCAAGAATAGCCAAGTCAGACTGCCATGAGATTATGATATATTATGATTATGGCACCTTTTTTTTTCCATTCTTAGGGACATGAAATGGGACATGAAATATACCGTTTTTTTTATATACCATTACATTCCCATAAGATAACCATAGCTGGTTAGTTATATCCTCATGTTGCCTAATAGTCAAACATCAACGGAGATAATCCCATTAGTATCCCATTATCATATCATATCAAGTTGGATATCATATCAAGATGGTTACCTATATCCCATGGTTGGGTACATCCCATAAATATCTCATTCATATCCCATTAGTATCCCATGAATCCCATTAATATCCCATTAGATTTCCAATTAATATTAGACATCATATTGACAGTCCAATTATATTTCTAATGGGATACTAATGGTGTTTCGTGATATCTATTAGATAATATTAGACATCATATTGACAGTCCAATTTATACGATTGTCTATCATCATCTGGCCAGTGTTCAAAAACCCTGTGTCCATACTGCTTGGTGAATCGGCATTCCAGTGGATTTTGATAAGCCATGATCCCACCATAAAAAATGTGTAGAATCCCCTTCATGCATAATATACTCGCCCATTTTTATTAGGGGAAGTACTGCCAATATAATCCTCCATAATATGCTAGCCATATACCCTCTGGTAAACGTTTACGTAACTATGGTTAAAATCACCATGCTATTCATGGGTAAATCCACTATTTCGACTGGGCCATTTTCAATAGCAAACTGTTAGTTTACCAGAGGGTAATCATCCGTTTTCTTTCTACCCAATTGTCAGTTGTCACTGGATTGGTTTAAGGGAAACTTCATAGGTTTCCGGTGAAGATTTTACTCAACCAATCCAGTGAACCTTTCGGATTTTCTGATGTTCGATGTTTTTTAAACAAACCGTTGTGAAATGACAATCCCATGATACCAGTTATTATGAAATGGTTATTACCCTAAATAGGTTATTATATGTTATTACCATTATGGGTTATAATAATTATGATACCCACAATGGTTATTCTCCATACACCATTGTGGGTAATAACCTATAATAACCTATAATAACCTATAATAACCTTTAATAAGCTATTTAGGGTCATTATTATCCATAGCATTTTTTTGACGAAGACTTCTCAGTGAAAAAACACCAAAAAACACCGACAGGCCGCAGACCTGTGGAGCTGCGGGGTGAGCCAGCCATGTTAGAATTTTCTGCTGCTGACATGTAACGATAATCATTGAATATATATATATATAATTATATATGTTACAAGAAGTTAAACGCAACATGTATATGTCACATATTTTTTTAGTCATTGTGATATACCATCATGTTTTTCATGTAGGTCAATGTAGATGGTGTTTATGTATATCTATATATATATATGAATACTAGATGATTATGTCTAAGGCTCATCATAGTTAATTCATTCGGGAAAGTGATGGACTCAAGACACCATGTTTGGTCAAAGCCATGGCACCAAAAAACACCTGGTTAAACATCAAACATCCCATTTTTGGAAGACCCCATTTTTAAAAATGTCCGGAGATCTAGCCACATTTTTCAAACCGCGGTGGGCTTTCTTGTCGTTTTTTTGTGGTTTTTAAGCCAGGTCCCAAAAAGGTCTGACCGAAACTTCAGCCAGGTCATCATGTTCGTCCTCCTCTGTGGATATCCTCCCTTCTTCGGCGATTCAGATGCCGAGGTCTTGGCTAAGGCGAAGTTATGGCAGCTGTTGAGAGTTATGGCAGGTGACTGGTGGTGAAATGAATTGCAGCTGGAACGATATATTATATACAGATGACCTATTATGATCCACTATGATCTATTATGATCTATTGCGATCGATTGTGATCTATCATGTTCTTTTGTGACCTATCATGATCTATTGTGATCGATTATGATTCAAAAGTGGTCCGAACATGGTGTGTTTTGTACATTTTGACTTGGAAATGTGCTTCGCGCCACAACGGCGTGCAACTTTTCATCTCTCATCTGACCAGATGGCTCCGCACCCGCCGCTTTAGCGAGCCTACTTTTCCAGAGCCACAAATCATTTGAAAAACGCAAAGCGTTTCGCGATTTTCCTTCCTTTTCGCGCACCTGCATCTTCTTTCTTCTCACTCTTTCTCTTCTTTGATCTTCTCTCTTCGGCTCTTCTCCTCTTCTGACTCTTCCCGCCTCTGCTTTTCCATCTGTCCATATTGTCGGAAGTTTGACTTCTAAACTTCCTTCGATTATGGTATCTTATGATCTCATGATCCAAAATTGGCTTGCACATCTTTCTTCGGGGAGGTCCGCTACAACCACCGACCAGTCGTTGTGGGTTCGTGTCAGCAGCCCCCCCTGATCACTTCACGATGTTTGGTGATCAGAGACATCACCACTTGGATGTGTTTGATATTGTCAACTAGTGCTAGTCAATCATGTTCCCCGAATGTCCACAAAACTTGAGGTTTTCATAAAACTCTCAGACACACCCACATCTGAAAATTGGAGATGATATGTTATATTTATATATATATATATATCCACTTAGATCCCAATTTTCTGTAGTAGCATCTCGATTTTGAATCCAACCATATGACCTCCGATCAAATCACCAGGTGAAGACAGGTAGTTACAGCTTCAACCCTGCTGACTGGAAGAACGTCTCTGAGGATCTGGGCCATTTTGAATGGGAAACCCCATGGGTTTTTGGGGTACCCCCAGCTTCTTCAGAAACACCCCAAATTGGACAAACATCCCATCGAGATGGGGGTGGGTCAATACCTATGGGACCTGGTCTTTGAGAGCGTGAGGCTGTATCGGCCTGTGTTTTGCAGCGTTCATTCAGTGTTGTTTCCCGATTCTTTGTTTGATACTAGAAATAATGGTGGATCATCATTTAAGAAATGCTAGATTAAAAACTCAGCTGAAAGGATCGAATAGCATCAAACTTATATCATCAAATTTATATCGCCACTGATACAAACACCATATTTTAACATCATACTGTATTCTTCGTTATGTTTTCAACAGCTGAACTATGGATCAGTCACAATGCCGTGATTGGACAGGATGCCAAGAATCTTATTCGACAGCTCCTGAAGATGAATCCCAAAGAACGGTCAGTCCCTCAGATCCTTGGGGAACTTAGCGGGTCAGCGCTTCGCAGATTGCCGTCGCTAGAGGCTGCTCCGGATACACTGCTGAGGTATAGTGCTGAGGCGGCTTTGAACCATGAGTGGCCCGGGAGTCTCAGGGGTTGGACATCATCCCTTCCCCCGTTCATACTAAACAGCCAGAAACCATGGTTTTGTATAGGGGGGTTATACTTCTTTGGGACCGTACAATGGGGGTGTTTAATATAGGGATGGCATTTTTCGCGTATTGTAGGTGAACTTGCAAAGGTCTTTATGCCTGAAACACCATGAAACATCTGTCATTTGTTGATTCCGGATGCATTTCTCTAGCCATGGCTTCAAAGGATGTTTCACAACCTCTTGTTCTCATGTTGACATGTGAGGGCTGTCTCAAAATTGGCACTCCCCGAAGCCGTTTTTTGGCCATTTGAAAAATCAGCTTCCCCAGTAGCATGGCCACACATTTAGGGGTATCCCCATTTTTTTTGCTGGCAAGACATCAGGGTTGTTGTATGTTGTTGTATATCCCAAGAAATATCTCATTCGGTCCTCATGACATCCAAATTCTATGTTCAAGATATCCGAAATCCAGATTAATATGTTATATCCCCACTATATATCACCAGATACAAAAGTAGAAATCCACTAAAACAGTGACATATTGCTTTTGGATTTTTTTTTGGTTAATTACTATAGTAATCTCTTCATGGAATATCTCCATGTCCATGGCCTTCAGCTCTCTCCGCTCAGGATCAAGCTGAAAGCGCCCAAGGCTACCAACGTGTCGCTACAGTCGAATTTTGTGGATAATCTGCGTCACTTCCGGTCACAGAACAAGTTGAAGAAGGCCGGTGACCTGCGGGATCGCGGTTCCGCGGACGGTCTACATCTGGAAATGATGAGAAGATTGGAAGATGGGGCATGTGGAGAGTGATTTTGAGAGTTTCAGATCTGGAAGATCTGAAAACTTCATGTAACATCTGGAGATTCCAACACTGTTTGTACCTTTAAAGGATTTCAACGGTCCAGTTTTTGGACGCTCCATCGACGGCTTCGTGGGTGTGACAAAGTTGGTGGCCTGGACAAAATCTGTGTTTGTTTGCCTGAAAATCTGGGAAAACCGCTCAATCATGGCATCACCGGTGTATCCCTTGTCTTGTGACTTTTTTGCCAGTTTTTATAGCGTTTTTTGCCAGCTTTTTTTAAAGACACAGCCAGATGCTGCAAAAGAAGCAGCCTGGTGTCGATCCAGGCAGCTCTGCACATCATTGCTGGGCAGCTCAACGAGGTCCGTGGACTGGATCATCCCTGCGCCGGAGCGTTCCCGAAGGTTTCCTAAGCACATGATAATCATCATGAACCATCTTTACATAGGGGTTTCCTACAATGGGGGTACCCCAAAATGGATGATTTATAAAAATTATACCCTCTGGTTATGACTAACATAGCCATGGAACATGGCCCATAGAAATAGATGGTTTACCGAACTTAAAAAATGGTGATTTTCCATGGCGAACCGTTAAATAACCAGATGGTAAGGGAAAATCCTACTAAAATGGATGAGTATATTCATTCTCCATCATATCCCCAGAGCCAAGAGGACCAGATCAAACAGCTTCGCGACGTCTTCATGATGATCGATGGCAATGGAGATGGTACGGACCTCAGAAAAAAATGCCTTTTTTGACACAAGGAGATGGTCCGTTGGGGGATTGATCTGCCAATTTTTCCACAATCATGTTGTTCAGGATTTTCATCATAGGATAGGTGAGATTGAGCATATTTTAGCAAATATTTAGCAAATATTTAGCATATATTTACCATAGATTGTCTCGAAGTTCTAGAGGAGGCTCACCAGGCCCAGATAAGGTTGCAGGACATGTCTTCAATGTCTGGCTTTTTCCGGGCCTGATCTTCGTAGGTGCAGAGGTTTAGAAGTTAGCAAACAAACAAAGCCTACATCCAACGATGCTCTGGTAGTGTGTCAAAAGACGAGCGTTTCGGTTGCCAGTGAAGATCCGCATGTCCCAGTTTGCGACAGCATGCAGCATGTACTTCAACGTGGTAAAGCCAACGCCATAAACGGCCCATCATTTGGCTTAGAAATCGTTGGGTATACCTTTCCGGGATGATTCAAGCCGGGACCACCATGGGTGCATGGGGTCCCCTGGGGTCCCCTGGGGTGGCGGTCGATCCCACATCCTTTTTGCGGCGTGTCTCAGGCTTTCTGACAGTCAATGAGCTGAAAGAAGGCTTAGCGAAGTTGCAAGCTAAGTCCTGCACCAGTGGCTTCTCCCGTTAGGCTTTCAAGATGTTTCAACATGTTTCAAAAACATGTTCAACCATCCATCCGTTTGGTGGTGCAGGATTTTGCAACCGTCCGCAGTATGTCGACATGATTTTCTTTTCATTTCAGATTAAGAGTGGATTTCATGTCATATAATTTCATGATGTTTCTTTCATTTCAGACTTTTCTTACTGGTGCTTAGCAGGGAATGGATGGGAATGATCCACAATAACTATCAATAATCATCCCAGAAACCCCCAGCAACCCATCCATTCCCTACGTAAAACGCACCAGTGGATAAGCCATTCCGCCAAGGGCTGGCCTCAAAGACATTCCTCCAGACTTGCTGCAGATCATGCAGGACGTCAATGTAAAGGATACACAAGTCCTGATATATGACATAATATGTATATACGTACATACATATATATATATACATACATATATTGATTATATATATATATATAAAATAGAGAGAGAGAGAGTGGGACGCTGTGGAGGTCCCATTTTTACGATGTTTTTTGTGTGTGTTTTTTTAAATGTGTTTCCAACGTTTCTTTCACAATAATATCACTTATTGTCCCTGAACGATGACCACTTTGAGCTGCAAGTAGCGCCGCCGCTATCACAGCATGGCAGCCCCCCTCACAAGATAGTTAAGGTGAAAATAAGGTGCATCCCTTAATCTTATATTCTCTTAATTGTTGAAACATATGAACAAACCTGTTGCAATTGTTTTTTTTTTTTAAATCATTTTTTATGTAGAATATGTTGACAATACCTTGAAGTAAAACACATATATATATATATATCTCTTCCAAAGCATGTCTTCCTTTATATCAGTGTAAACTAGGTGTTTTGTGAAAAGAGCTGTGTATTCTAAGTGATTGAGCTGGGTACATCTCGCAAGGAAACTAAATTAAACCATGTCCAATATCATGTTGATAATTGCACCAACAAAGGAAAAGTTAAACTTGTGTTACAAAAATCATCTGGAAAAATACGCATGCCAATCCCAAACTCTTCAATAGAAACAACTAAGCTTTGAATTAGAAGGACCCCAAAAACAAACTCAAAGAATCCAACCTGGAAAGTGAGGGTAGGTTTGGGTCAAGCCTTGCAATCAATGACATTCCTATCACAAGGCACCATGGCGATGCATGCAGCATCTCATTCTTCTCCAAAATTGAGACTCTAATTCCTTTCATTTACTGTTCATGTCATGCTAAAGCATGCTTGTACCCAACCCAACCATATAAGTATATAATCGAATGTATATATAATGTTACAATGCTAGTCTATATAGATTTAAATGAAATATATTGAAATATATTGGTTTCAACCTGATCCATAGCATAAACATTCCGAGAACTTGGCCCCAAAAGAAAAACACATCGATTTCTCCTGGTAAGTATATAACAAATATAACAAGGCTTTTACCATTTCCTTGTGCAGATTTCCCTAGCAAACTAGGAATGCAACCCAAAAAGGGAGCTTGGAATCTCCAATACAATCAGTGGCAGCCCACACAGACATTGCACACAATCACTGTGTTCGAAATCAAGCATGCCTATGATAGAGAATACCCTTGCCAAATGTTGAGGTATGCAGTTGCCTTCTTAGTTTGTAGGCTGGCAAAATGGTTGCTAGATAATATTAATATGGAAAAACTTTTGAAAGATACTGTCCATAGCAACACCTATGGGAGTAACCTTTGGCGAATGCAATTAAGCTATTAATATTGCTAATGATACATACAGTTATGGCAAGGAGCAGACATACAATACTAAGTCAGATGAGGCTAGGGCAAAAATTCAAAGTGCATGCTAATATTGCATTGTCATTGTCATTGGAAAAAGGTGGAATTTGACGCATTTTTGGGCACAATTTGGCTTGGCTAAACTAGTATGATAAAGGTGGTGATAACTGTCCTTGAAAGTTATAGGTCTGATTGATGGCTGCCAATCATCAAAGGAAATGATTATTGCAACTTGCCATACATAGAACATGAAACTTGGTAGCATTATTTGTATATCTTTTAATTATATTAATCATAAATGTTCAGAGTTTGACTAAATTGTCTGCATTTCGAATGAGGGTACATTGGTCATACCCATACTGAAGAAATATATTATATGATATACATTGCAGATATTTTCAAGATTACTTGCACAAAAAATATTCTTGTCTTGGCATGCTAAGTATAGCCATTTTGACATACAAAGATGACGTTATCTTCACATCACTCTTGATCCTATATTTTCTTGCTGTGTATCATGCAATGGCCTATCATTTGCGCAATTATTATATTTATGGAACATTCTTGGCAACATATAGTTTCATCAAAGCCTTTGGACATTCAAATTAAAACGGCCCAAACAAACCGAATGATTTTTTCAAAGGGCCGGACAGCTGCCGGATTCACAGTACCGAGCCGACCAGGATCCAGTGACTTTAGTATGTCAAAGCTGGTTTACTAGGGTCTGGGGGGGGGGCACCCCCAAAAAAAGTTGTTTCTTTTTGGGACCCCTCCCCTCAGAGAGGTCTAGAAGGTAAAAACCAGAGCTTTAGGGTTTCCAGAGGTCTCGAGGAAGAGAGAAAGGAAAAAACAAATCTATACAGAAAGCTTATAGCAATATATAAATCCAAAATTTGACCCATATTTTTGTCCATTCCTTTTTCTGCATTAAGCTGATATGGCTGAAAATTAAGATTTATTGGAAAGTGTAACCATAATTGATTTTTATATTCTAAGAGTTTGTATATTAGCATATATATTAGCACAAATATAGAATGAAACATAACATTTGTTTGGTTGATTTTCATGACCCAAGCCAAATAGTTAAACATATCCCAAACATAATTAAAACATATTAAAACAATGAGCATTTGATGATATACTGACCAAAGATGTTTTTCAGTGACTTTTTCAAAACACCGTAAAAATGGGGCCTCCACAACGTCCCTTTCTGTACATATATAATCATATATATATATACATATACATACAATCAAGGGGGAAATATGATAATGGAACGTAATGAGACATTCAAATGCGGAACATCCAGTTCTTTCGGTTGACTTCATGACATCTTTCGCGGTCGATTTAATCATTCAACTAGCCAAAAAGTGGTTTTTATAATGGGTCATAAACTGGGATTTGATATGATTTCATTGCGCATCAAAAACGTTCAACCAGCCAAAGTGGTCATTGATTTGACTCGACCACTGAATAATGGACAGGTCTTTACGGGATATTCCCAGCTGTGGAAAGTAATCGTTTGAGCCGTAACAAGCAAAAGCGTGGTGATAATTACTGAAAAGTTTGCCGTCCCCTGACTTGGCAGGAGTGGGTTTATTATAACCAATATATGTATATATATATACTTGTATGTAATGTAATGTACTGTAATGTACTGCAATGTACTGCAATGTACTGCAATGTACTGCAATGTACTGCAATATACTGTACTGTACTGTACTGTACTGTACTGTACTGTACTGTACTGTACTGTACTGTACTGTACTGAATGTATGGTAATGTAATGTAATGTTAATGTAATGTCATGACATGTCATGGAATGTAATGGAATGTAGTGTAATGTAATCTAATGTATGATATATATATATACATATATACACATCAGGAACATCTATAAACCAACTAGTATATATAGTGAGATGGGGGAACGGGTATTTTGAATGGCTCACATTTTTTGTCTTCGCCAGTTTTTGACAGCTTGGCCCCACTCAGCACAAAACTGGGTGTTTCTTAAAATGGTACCACTTAAACCACCATTTTATAGTGTCCCTCTGAAACAAGATAGATAATACATGTTGGATGATTTGGGGGCCCCCATTTTTAGAAACCACCATTTGTATCTTTTTAGACATATATTGCCCTGAAAATCCGATGGTTAAACATATGTTTTTCCAGTTATGATAGCTTAAATTGCCATTTGCGGGGTATAGCCCATTTTGAGAAACCAGCATTTCTGGCAGGAAGTTGATTCTGACGGGAGTGGCAATATCGACTACACCGAATTTCTTGCTGCAACCTTGGACAAGAGGCAGCATGAGCCAACATTGGCTGGGATTTTTTCTTTGTCGTTTTGCTTCCAGGACCATTAAACAAATATATAGAAAAAACAAACACATACTTTCGGTAAAACACCTGATTCAACTGATGGCTGTTTTCCCAGAATGTTTTTTCAGACAAAAAGTGATAGCCTTCTTGGTAAACGTTTACACAACTATGGAAAGATCCACCATTTTTAATGGGAAAACTCACTATTTCTATGGCCATTTTCAATAGTTATGTTAAATTACCAGAGGGTAGTATCCATTATATCCCCTATAAATCCCTATAAATCCCTATAAATCCCTATAAATCCCTATAAATCCCTATAAATCCCCATAAACCATCATAAATCCCCATAACATAAACCAGAGGGTAGTTGTTGTGTTTTCCGGCAGGATGTACATCCAAGAGGATGTCTGCTGGTCGGCATTCCGGGTCTTCGATAGGCCTGTGACTGGTTGCCATTACATTGTCCAAACAAGGGATATATTAGGTATATATATATGTTATGTTATTTGATAGTATAGTATATACATATATATATACATGTATGTACCATATATATATATACATATACACAGTTGTATGCATACATATTTATTATCTTAGTTCTATAGATACATAGATACATATCTACTCCCAAGTTGCATTGTTGGATGGCACGGAAACGGGGAGATCATCTGTGAGAATTGGTGATGCCCAATTTTCAGTCAAAGCCAGATGTTTTGATTGAATCGAATCGTCGAATGGCCGCTGGCCGTGCTTTGGAGGAATGGTGACGGAAAGATCTCGATGGAAGAGTTGCAGCAGGCAGTTTTTTTTTTTCCGAGACCGCAAGGGGATGAACATCTGATTGGTGGTTGAAAATGGCACCCCCGGAGATTGGAATGATGATGGTCAATGACTTTCACATATTTTTCAGGAAGGTTGAAACTCAATATGTTTCCTCAAAAAGACGTTTACCGTTTGGCTCAAAGCCCACTGCGACCGGGTTTTCCAGTTGTTTCTTGCTGGATCAAGTCGATTGTCGTCTTTATAAAGACTTCAAGAGCATGGGGCCAATGGGGCTGTGCTTTGGCGTTATAAAGACTTCACCGACATGTACATGGAGGGCTCATATTGTGGTGAGGTTACAGGACCCTTCACCGTGCGGCAAGTCATCAATTTGCACAAGCTGTTGGTGGCCGCACTGATCTGGGGTCCTGCTGCCGGTGCCCTGTTGGTGTGCCACGGGACCTATGGCTTCCTGTGGGTCTACAAGGACATCTTCTATGGAGACCCGGGGTGGCAACGACCTTGCGGCTGTCGGTGCCCTAAGCGTGTTTATCTACCCCTTGGGCTTTTACTACAGCCCTATGCTCTGCTTGATCACGGACTACTGTGACTTTGCAAGGTGAGCTGGCGAAAACAGATGGATGGATGTTGCATCTTGCATGGATGTTGATGGTTGATTCGCGACAGATGCGTGTTGCTGTTAGGTGTAGAGTTTTTTCGTCATGGCTAAGCGCTGATCAGCCCAATCTGCGCCAGGTTTGGCCAAGGGGAGGAACCTTGGATCCTTATGATTGGCTTGTGGTTTTACATCATCGGCATCTTCTATCACTACTGTGCGGATTTGCAGAAGCACGTTCAGCTCAGCTTGGAACGCCCAAGGAGGCTCATCACAGGAAAATCCTCTTTGCGCACACGAGGAATCCAGACTACTTTGGTCACTAGGAAGATTGATTTGTTGCATATTTGTTGCTAGTTGGGCAGTTGAACTTGCTTTTCGGATTAAGAACACTTTGATCAAAGCTCAACTATTGCACTATGGTTTAATCAGCCTGTGGAGACGATCCAGACACCCAAAAAATCATCCCAAAGCTATGCGATTCTGAACCCTAAGGTGAGTTCATGACCTACACAGGCTTTGCAGTGTCGATGAATTGGCTACCCCGATGGGCTTTTTACCATCGCCTATAGCTGAACTTGTTCGTGCCCAACATGCTGGCCAAAGAAGCATCCATACTCGACATGAAGCTTGGAGTGACTGGAAGGCTCGCTCGGGAATGTTCTTCCCGTATCTTCCAACTTTGATCCCCGAGTTCTGGTGCAATGCTTTCCAGGTCAGCCTCACCATGACGTGCCGCATACGACTGGATTTCTTCGACTTGACTTGGCTCTGCTAAGCAGAGACAACGATACAATTGATTCATCAAAGATGGGTTTCAGTTTGCTTAAGAAATGTGTTTTTTCCCTGGAAGGGTCACCAACCCATCTCGAGCCGATGAACGAAGCAGCTTCTTGAGGCGTAGTTTGACTCAGGAGTGCGGATAAAACACGCGTTTGATGAAAAAGCGAAACCGGCGAAACTAGCAATGACCCAATTCTGCCAAACACTCAGAAGAGAAGGGGGTTTGGAAGGTTTCAATAATGATCAATGATGACAAATCAATGGATTGTTGATATGGAGGTTTCCTGACATAGGGGTACCTCCAAATCATCCATTTATAGATGGATTTTCCCTTGTAGACCATTATAAACCATCCAGCTATTGGGGTATTTTTCATTTATGGAAACCCCCATATTGTTGGAAAGTACCATCGCAATCATCGCAGTACTCTCGGTGAGGTGCTAGGCAGCAACGAGGTGGAGGAGGTCGTTGGAGCCAAGGTGCAAAGCTGGCGGTTCTGGAGGGTTTTCGATCTGTTTGTCTTGGAGGGTTAATAATATATACTGTAATATAATATATGATATATGATATATAATATACAATATATAATATATAATATATAATATATGATATAATATTTCATATATAACATATAACATATAACACATAACATATAACATATAACATATAATATATAATATATTATACATAATAAATAATAACTAAGAAATACTATACAATATATAGTATGTAATATATAATAAATAATAAATAATATATTAAATACAATATATAATATATAGTATATAATATATAATATATAATATATAATATATAATATATGATATATGATATATAATACGTAATATTCAATATTTGATATTTAATATATAATATCTATAATATCATAGATAATATAATATAGGATAATACAATATAATATGATACAATATGATATAATATAATATATAATATATAATATATAATATATAATATATATTATATAATATATAATATTTAACATACACTATATAATATATAACATATAACATACAATATATAATATTTAATATACAATATATAATATATAACATATAACATATAATATATAATATAAAATATATAATATATATTATATAATATATAATATATGATATATAATATATAATATATAATATATTATATTATAATATAATATAATATAATATAATATAACAAAAAATAATATAATATAATATAACATAAGGTAATATAAGATAATAGATATATATATATATAATATAATATAATATAATATAATATAATATATAATTTATATATATATATGCAGAATCACCGTTGGATGTTTGGGATGATGAGAGACACATTGCTTCAGAGGCTTTGGCAGACCTCATGCTGGAGGTTGATGGGAACGGCGACGGCTTCATCGATTTCAAGGCTTGAAGCTGCTGGTTCAAAAAAACATCCGGAAACTTACCATTACCATCTGGTTATTTAACATAGCCATGGACAATCACCATTTTTAAAGTTCGGTAAACCATCTATTTCTATGGGCCATGTTCCATGGCTATGTTAGTCATAACCAGAGGGCAACTGTTGCTTAACTTGCTCAACTGATTTTTATCAAAACCAACTATGCTGACTGTAACTTATCAACTCTTCTCATTTCATGGAAAAATGTCAACCCGTCCAGTTTACACTGTACTGGTACCGCCTTTCAGACCTTTCACGTATTTTGCCGCCTGGCGACGTTAACTGCCAGGAATTTTTGGCGATGATGAGAGGACAGGGCAAGCCCGTTCAGAGCTGAGACAGGACCCTCTGGATCTGGGAATTTCTTTGCGAACTGGAACATAGCTGCCATAGCTCAAACAGAGTTCGATGATTTCCTCCTTATTTCCATGGTGATTTCCCATAGGCACAACCAGAAGGTTCTGGTTGCTGTCATGCTGTGCGGAGACTGGCCCGTCCAAAGCTGCAACTAAGGGTGCTTGATTGAAGGCGGGAAGGTTGGCAGTTGTCTGAGTCCAATCCTCTATACAGACCAGATCAGATTGCCCAATCCTGCTGAAGTTCAAGGTTGCGGCTGACATAACAGCCGTTTGCTGATTAAACGCTTGATGATTCTGCTTGCTTGTGCTAGTGCTGCTAGTGCTAGCACTGACAATATGAAGTGATATGAAGTGTGGGAAAGCGGGGTTGTTACGAAGACCATGCAGTGAATCGTACAACAATATGTCTGAAGATTTTGAGGAAGAAAAACGCAAAAGGCTGCGAAAATGGTTACCCCCAAAAATGATCAAACATGGGTACCTTTAAAATCCACTAATTACTTGATGATCATCTTCCCCTATTCATGTGATGGCCATTTTTACTGGGGGTTTTTGGGCTGCGTGCGCTCCAGGCTTGAGCTTGGCGGCTCCGCATGGAAAATGTTGCGTCCGTCTGGTGCGGCGCCTGCGGCTTCGTAGTGCTCAGTGGTTTTGAAACATCCTAATTTGGAATCATAATCTTAACATTTGTTTTTTTTCCCTGGGGCTCAGCTAAGCACTTTGAATATTTTGAATAGTATAGAATGTTATTTTGAGGAGAAAGGTCTTTGCCTTTTTATTTGTTCACCTTCACACTGGCACTGCAGTTTCACCTGGCTGGGTAACAGAGAGATTGGCTGGGTCTGCCCACCAGTTATCGCACTTTGATGGGTGAAAATGATGATTCACAAAGTAATTCACAAGTAATTCGGTTATTTTTGGACCGTATTTCCAGAGAAAGCCATAATGATCATGTACGTTACCATTATCTGACAGTACGGATTGTGAGCGCAGGTTTTGCGGTTGCATGATGCATAGCTTTAGTCAATTTTAGTCACTTTAGTCGTACGTCTGTGATGGTAATCTCAATCTTAAACTCAATCTAAAGGTTGAAACCAAGCGGCTAGAAAGACACATCCTAGAGATGTAGAGATTGCCGATGACACAATAGTACAGCATAGTACAGCTAAATTGATGGATTCTTGAACACATGTGGCTGGGTCAGCTATGAAATCCCGTAGCGGATGGGCAGATGAACATGCTGCTACTCGTACTTTGGGGTTTACCGATTTTGGTGAAGTGACCTATGACAAAAGAGAGGCTTCTGCAAGACGTCAATCTCTCTTATGCCCAATGGCCCAGAGAGAGTATACCGAGACAAGGATCTTTGTCGAAGTGCAGACATCGCAAAGGCACTGGAAGGCGATGCTTATTGCCCGGTCAAAGAGGCACTTGAACCAATTTGTACTGGAATCCTTGAAATGATGGACCCCAAAATCATCCAAGTTCATCATGGTAACAGTTCGATTAGGTAAACGGTTCATATTTCCGGTTCACAGCGCACGGTTCGGTTCACAAACGGTTCATGAATAAACGGTTCGCTTCTACCGCTTCGGTTTCCCAAAAAATCGATTCCGCCGGTTCGGTCCCACCAGTAATCATAGTTCTCGGTCTTCATCGTGGCAGCTGCTAGCTGAATCCCCCATTGTGGTGGTTGAATCACCCATGTCGGTACCCCATTATGGTGTCAGAATCTCCCATTGTGGTGGTTAAATCTCATATTATTTGGGTTGAATCTCTGATTGTGGTGCCTCATTGTGGTGTTTCATAGTTTTCAACGCGGTGTCCCAAAGAAAGGCATCTATCTCATCTCGATATCCCCAATCTGACTGGATCTGGACTGATCTGGATTGATCAATGACTTTTGCGGAGGAGTTGAGCCAGAAATTCGGGCCAGACCAGCGTTTTACAACGAGATATAACGAGTACAGAGCAGCAGCCTGTCTTGGGGCATCACCACATTGGAGAGTCCACGGTTCCACCCGGTGCGGTTCCACTCCGGTTCGATCGGTTCTTGCGGTTCCACGCTTAACGGTTACTAAGCACATCTAAGCACCATGCGAGTTGTCATTTTTCGGGCAAATTGAGATAAGGCAAGCCCATCCATAGCCTGACGCATGTTCCGCATGTCGGCGTAGTCTTGGAGCTGAAGACTCCAAGATCTGCCGAAGATCGAGAGACGCCAATTGAGGCGTCGAATATCGGTCCCTTGGGTCATTTCGAGAAAATGACCACGACGCAAACAACGTGGGCTTTTGAAATCGTCTCACAGCACTAACGATCTGTCTAATTCGATGGCTGCAGTGGCTGAGTGGTAGGCCTGTCCGAGTCCTGCGCTGCCAAGCACGGGCCTCCGGGCCTCTCCTTTTCAGCTCGAGGCGAAGTGCGCCAAAGTGGAGGGCTTCACAGACCACGAACCGTACTATGCACAACGGTACCAGGCACAACATAGCATCAACGTAGTCCCCCATCTTGACAAAACGCACTGCAAAGCAGTGTGGAACACATATAGACATGCGGTGACTCCATGCTGGACAGCTGAATGAGATGCAAAGCCATTGACATCTACTGACCATCTCTATCTCTATCTCTAAATATCTAAATATGTCACTGTCTGTATTTAAATAGCTCTATCGAATATCTATCTATCTATCTATCTATCTAATCTAATCTAAATCTATATAATCTAATCTAATTTAATTTAATTTAATCTATATAATCTAATTCTAATCTATTCTAATCTATTCTAATCCAATCCAATCCAAGCCTATCTATCTATCATTATCTATCTATCATTATCTATCTATCATTATCTATCTATCATTATCTATCTATCATTATCTATCTATCCATCTATCTATTTGTCTATCTATCTGTGATAATGGAATATATATATAATAGTATATTTGATATGATATGACGTGATATGATGTGATATGCTGATATTATATGGTGTGATATGATGTGATATGATGTGATATGATGTGAGACTGTATGATGTTAGACTGTATGATGTGAGATGTGATATGATGTGATCTGATGGAATATATGATATGATATGATGTGATATATGATGTGATATGATGTGATATATGATATGATATGATGTGAAAACCCGTGTTGTTCTTTTGAATGGACGCAAACCTCATCAGTTGACTTTTCTTCATGCAACTTGCATACGGCTCCAGGGAGTGGCCGTGACATGATCTTTCTGTATCTCAAGGTGCGTTTTGCTCAGTGAAAAGGACAAAAAGACGGCAGCGAAGCGCTGCATCGAACGTCAATATGGAGCTTTCCGTTTTGTCATGAGGGTACCCCCTTCCATCATCCATTTGTTCGGATTTTCCCTGAAATAAACCATCCAGCTATAGAAAAAAAGGGGTACCCCCATGACAAAACGGAACCCCCCATATCTGCTGAAGTTCAGCTCCCGACCTTTTGGATCCAAGGGAACTGGCTCGAATGCTTCAGGGTTTAGCACATTATGTACCCTCTGGCTATTTAACATAGCCATGGAAAGATCCACAATTTTTAATAGGTAAACCATCTATAGATGGACCATTTTCCATGGCTATGTTAAATAACCAGAGGGTATATCAACCAACCATCGTTTGCAGCTTCAAATTCCTATTTCAAATGATTAGATGTGGTTGTCTTAGTGGTTAAGCCTCCATTTTTCATGGTTAAGAGCTAAAGCAACAGCCACCATTCCTGGTTCCCTTGGGACCAAACATTCACCGACTCCGGTGGCGAAAGCCATGGTGCCGTAGTGGAGATGCTGCGCGCCTGTGCTGCACAGCTTCTATTGGCCACGCTGGCATTTCTGCTGCTGTATGTGATCACAGGCGCCCAGCCCTTTTTTTTTGTCCTTGATTGTTTCACGCTTGGGATTGTTTGATGGGATTCCGGAAACATGACATATCATGACATGAAAGTGTAAAAATTATTAAAAGATGGAATCTGACTTTATTTCTGGTGAAATGGATGGATGGTTGATTGTTTTTGCCTCCGCAGCCTCCGCTGTTCTTCCTCGGCAGGGCCAGAGGGATCCCCTGGGGGATCGCATTTTGCCTTGCTGGTTCTATACCTCGCAGCCCTGTGGGTCGGCAAGTTGATCCTTGGCTCGAAAATCGAAAAAGTTTGGACAAGTCAATCTCTCGAAAATCACCTTTTTTTTGATAGGTAAATCACCATCTTTGATAGGTAAGTTTGATAGGTAAATCAACCGGAAAATCACAATTTCTTGATACCTAAATCACAATTTTTGATAGGTAAATTACCGGAAAATCACCATTTTTGATACGAACATTACAATTTCTGATAAGTAATTCAACCGGACAAATCACCATTTTTGATAGGTAAATCACTCGAACATGGCAATTTTTTGATAGGACAACAAATCACAATTTTTCATAGGTAAATCACCGGAAAATCACAATTTTTGATGGGTAAATCACCATTTTTTCATAGGTAAACCATTGGAAAATGACAATTTTTGATAAGTAAATTACTGGAAAATATTGGAAAATCACCGTTGTTGATAGGTGAATCACCATTTCTGATAGGTAATTCAACCGGACAAATCACCATTTTATGATTGGCAAATCATTTTTTTAATCATCAAATGGGGCATGGCTTCCATAGCAAACTGTGAAATATCCGGAGGCGCCATGGTTTTTGTTTGATGTTTTTTTTCTATCTCAAAGAATAGGATTTTCCGATCATTATCCCTTGAAAGATGGGAAATTTGAAACACACCATGCGGATTCCGGTGCCATGAGGACAGCACCCTTCAAGAAGCTTCCTCCATTGCTGCCCATGTCTCTTGGATCCCTTGGACCTGGATAGGATAGGACTACCAGCTGGAGTCAAATTAAGTCAACAGATCATAACCATGATAATTGTTGTTTCTGGGATATGATTTTTATGATTTCTATGATTTCTATGATTTCTATGATTTCTATGATATGATTTCTATCTATCTATCTATCTATCTGTCAAAGGGAACTAAACGCTAGGACACTTATCATGTACATATGTGATTGTGCATTGAAACGCCGTACTGGCTCAAGTCCCTGCGCGAGGAAAAGTCCGAGCTCCGCTTGCAATGCCGTAACGCTGTCC